TTTTTATTTTTTTTTTATTTGTTTAATATATTTTATTTTTTTTAAAAATCTATTTTTATTGTTCCCAGTTGATTGGTATATAGACATATGGGTAGAATTTTTCACTATCATCAGCTTCATTCTTACCAGAGATGTGAGCAGAACCTAAATATTTGAATTGTTCGAAAAGGATATCACGAAGTTTTTTATCTTCTCTCTTTAATGGTTGCATAAGGATAGCTTGGAAATCGAATGGAATACCAAATCTAAGAACTGATTCAACAAATACTCTGACGACTTTTAAGTGAATCCAGGCCATGAAGGCTTCTGGGAAATTTAATCTACACCAACGAATTAAACCTGTTCTATAATTCTTTTTTTCTTCTGTTAATTTGGCTCTTTCTTGAGTTGGTTTTTCGCTTTCAACTTTGAAATCTCTAACTACCCATTTCTTTTCTCCGATTTTATTTTTAAAGTTTTCATAGAATTTCTTAAATAAAAATACACTATATAAATAAAATTCATTATCTTGTGCAACTTTTCTATAATTATTAAAATAGCGAGGTTAATATTGATGGGTGGGTTATAAAAAAAAAAAAAAAAAGAAATTAATAACTTACTTGGCTGATCTGGCAAGAACATAATCTGAAAGGGTTTCATAACAAGCTAAAAAGTCTTTTTCAGCAGTGCTATATAATTGGATTAATAATTATGTAAGGTTAATAAATATTTAAAACTATAAATCAATTTTATTTTTTTTTGAATGATACAAACATTGGAACGGCAACAAAAGCGGTAGTAAGATAATCAGTTTGAACGATATTATCTTGGGTAATTAAACCATTTAATGAACGAACTTGGAGCGAACCACCGGCCTTTCTTTCTTCAGCAGCAACTGAACTTGATAAAGAACTATATTCGGATGATTTAAGTTTTAAATCATCATCAATTTTAGAAACAGACTAAAATTAAAAAAAAAAAAAAAAGAAAATATTAATATTAATATTATTAATTATTATAATAATTAAATGATATAAAAATAAACATACTTGTGAAATTTTATCGACAATTTCTTGTAATGATAATTTTAAGTTGTATTTAGCATCATCCCAAACAAATTGTTGAAGATATTGTGGAATGGTAGCACCATTAATTGAAAGACTCTTATCTTTACCTGGTTTGGTACCAACTAAATCGACTAATTGTTTGGCGATTTTTTTAGTGGTTGCTTCGACGAGAGTATCGATTTTTTGTAATTCATCATTGAGGGTAATTAATGAATTAAGAGTACCAACTCTTAATGATGGTGTCTATAATGTTATTATTTAGTTTTATTTTAATTAGTATTTAATTCCAAAATAATATATATGGGTGTGGGTGTGTGTTTATTATATCCTAAAAGTAAGCTAATAAATCCTATATGTCCTATAAATCCAATGCATATAAAATATTAATGATAAATCCTATATTCCTTAAATCCTATCATATTACTTGTTTCTTTTGCCTTTGTTATTACTATTATTATTATTGTTGTTGTTGTTGTTGTGTATTCTGTATGATGATTATTTGTGTTTTTAAAACTTTACATTGAATTTTCTATTTTCTGATAATGAATTTTCTTTGGCAGTTTTTTGATTAACTAAATCAAAGATATCAGCACCTTGAAGATTTGGTGCTGAAATTAACCAGAAGACTTGATTTTCACTCATTGTTTAAAGATTTTACAATATTAAAACTATATAAATTCTATATTAATTGGAATAAAAAAATGTGGTTAATAACTATACCCAAATAAGCATATATACATGTAAATATATAATCAAATAAAAAAAAAACTAAAAAAATTTTAATAATGAAAATTAATTTTAAAAAAAAACTAAAAAAAAACAACACACAAATATGATTTTTATGTTTTATTATTTATTTCCAAATATAAAAACCGAAGATTTAATATACAAAATTGATAAATGAATGAATTCCTATAGTTTGCGAATCGTACAATAAAAAATTCTAATTTACTTATATTTATTATAATATAAATAAACACACGATAAATTTATTATTTATTATTAAAAAATATATAAAAAAATAAAAAAAAATTAAAAAAAAAAAAAAAAAAAATAAAAAAAAAAAAAAAAAACAAATTTTTTTTTTTAAATTTAAAAAAAAAAAAAAATTAAAAATTTTTATGGCAGAAGTAACTGAACCAGGTTATAGGCATAGGTTACTTTTTAGTGGGATCCTGGATAAAAATCTTTTGAATTTTTTTTTTATCACAAAAATAATAATTTTTTTTTATTTTTTTTTTTATTATTAATTATTTATTTATAAATTAAATTAAATTGTAATAACAACTATAAATATCTTTTATTTTTAAATATGAAAAAAAAAATTTGGATTGTGGGTTAAATTTGTGTGTTTATTTTTATATTTATTTTTATTTTTATTTATATTTATATTTATATTTTTATTTGGTATCATTTGTTTTTAAAAAATGGATTGGTTGTTTGGATTTGTTTATATAAATTCTAAACTCTAACTCAAGTTTATCATTTTGTATGAAACTTTTTTCTTTGATTTTATTTTGGTCTATTTGATAGATGAGCACATCGGGATTATTTTTAAAATCTAATAAAACAAAGTAATATAATATTAAAATTAAATAAATAAATAAATAAATATATAATAATTACCTCCATTGAAAATTATTTCTATATTTTCAGTTGGTGTTGTATTTTTAATTATTAGGTGAAAAGTAAAATTTTTTTTTTTTCCTTCATCCAAATAAAAATATAAACGATTTTTTGACACAAAACCAACATGGTATTTATTGTTGCCTATTTCAAACTGTTCTGTTTCTAGAGATCTAAGGAGCGGATATAAAACGTCTCGTGGAAAAAACCATTTAAAAAATACTTTTTTTTCTTTTTTTGTAATCACATATTTTTTTAAACTACATTCCAATTTTTTTAAATCTTCTTTTGTTATCACATCTTTTTCGCAACTACATTCCAGTTTTTTTAAATATTCTTTTGTTGATTCTTTTTGTTCCAACTCTTTCTTTTCCCTTTCAATTTTTTCTAATTTCTTCTCTGCGAATTCGCAGTGGTTAATTTCTTTGTTATGATTTGATTGTTCTCCCCTTTTAAATTGTATTTCACATCCATATTCTTCATATTTACATTTAATATAGGTGTTTTCACAGATATTTTCAATGTGGCTTTTTAATTCTTTTCTTAACAAACTTTTTTCGCAATCTGGGCAACGAATAAGTAAATATGGGCATAGGGTACGGTGGATTTCTATATCTTGTTTGGCGAAAGTAGAGCTACAGAGCCAACAGGATATTGGTTCAAAACCACAGCTTAATATGTGAAATAGCATTTGGTTATTTCTTCCTATCTTTTGACAACCATGGTATGGGCACTTTCTGAATCCAAATTGGCAGCTTTTTAAATGAGTATCCAGCTCACGAACTTCAATTGTTTCCTTACAACCATATTCATCTTTGGCTAGGGCTACCATTTCGTTGTCATCAACCGTTGTATATAAATCCAAACCATAAGAGTATGGGCAAAATATTTTTTCCTCTAGTATTTGGTTTTCTACAACAGTGTTTTTGCACATTCCTCCAAAGAAGGGGGGAGGAGTTTTGCACTTTATACAAATTTTGACTTCATTACCATTTTCTCCTTTCCAACAACTAGTACATGCGAAGTGGCTATTACTACAACCCAATATTTCCTTTTTGTAAAATAAACCTTTACAAAAAATACAGGATACACTATCTAAAGTTTTTGTTTTTTTGCTTTCTTTTGATTTTAATAATTTTTTAAAGATTTTTGGTGATGAGAGAACCCCAGTAGCAATAGTTTCCTACAGAAATAATTATTTAAATTTTAATTAATATGAATAGATTTATATTTCATTTTAAAATTATAATTATTATTTTTACTTACTTCAATTGATAATCCCATTTTTTTTATATAGCTTTTTATTTATAGTATGTATAAAAAAAAAAATTTAAAATTAATTTTATTAAATTAATTTTAAGTTAAAAAAAATTAAATTAAAAATTAAAAAACCAAAAATAAAAAAAAAAGCACACACTTTCAATTTTATAAAAATTTTAAAAAAAAAAATCAATAATTTATTTAAATATAGATACATATTGAAAAAAGAAATTTAACAACATAAAGATTGTCCAATTGCAAGAGCTGTACAAACAGTGCCAGGGTTTTTTTGGTAAAATAAATTTTCATCCCATTGATTGTGACATTTTGATGTCCAAACATCCCAACAACCTTGACCTGCATCAACTGTTGCTTTTCTAGTGCAACCACCTCCTGTAGAACTTGGAGAAGAACCACCACCTCCTTCACAACATAAAGATTGACCAATTTTAAGAGCAGTGCAAACTGTACCTGGATTAATTTGATAGAATAAATTTTCATTCCATTTATTTCCACATTTTGTAGTCCATACATCCCAACAACCTTGACCTGCATCAACTATTGCTTTTCTTGTACAGGTACCTACTGATGTTGGGTCATCTCCATTGCCACCATTACCACCATTACCACCATTACCACCATTACCACCATTACCACCATTACCACCATTACCTCCATTACCTCCATTACCTCCATTACCTCCATTACCACCTCCTGAACCCCCCGATGTACCGCCCATACCACCATTTATAAACTCCCATGATATTCCAATATTTCCATCATTTAAACTACCTACAAGATCCTTAAATGCTGGTGCACTTAAGCTTAATACATTTGTTGAACATCTTGTACATTTATCACGAACTGGAACATCAATAGTTTTGCCATTATATTTTACTCTTATTTTCGAACTACACAATGGGTCGCTATTCGAACCAGTACTCCAAAACGAAGAAGGCAAAGAAGCAAATACTTCACTATTTGTATCAAAAGTTCTTCCACATACCCCCGAACCAGCACCTTTATTATAAGTAGCTTCCCCATAGTATGGTAACTGACTCCCCAATGTATAACCTGCAACTAAAAATAAACCAAAAATTGTTTTAATCATTTTATTTATAAACTATTTATTATTTATTATCTATTATTATTTATTTAATCTTTTTATATTTATTATTTAATATTTGTTTTTAAATAAAAATATTAAAAAATAAAAAAACTATTTATATTTAAAATTTTACCCTTCTATTTTTTTTAAAAAAATAAGCTTATTTTTTAAGGATTATAAATTATTATAATTTATAAATAAAAAATAAAACCGTCATTTTTCTATCATATACAATAATTATTTCTTTTATTTTAAGGTTTATTTCAATATATTATTATTTCTCTTTTTTTTTTCTTTGTATTTTAAAAAAATTATAACCCCCACAAAAATTTAAATCTTTTATCTTAAAAAAATATTGACAAAAAAAAATGAAACCATACTATAAATAAAAGAGTAAACCTTTTACAATAATAATATCCTTATTTTTAAAAAAAAACATTATAATTAGATTTTAATACTAGTATTACAAAAACTATTTAAAAGAAAAAACTAAATATATATAAATATATAAAAAAACAAACAAAACACATTCCTTTAAAAATATCGTCCAACTTAAATCGCTAAAATTATTCCAATAATCTGCTGGTTTTTTTTTGTTAATCCACAAATGAAAAATAATATAATTTGGATATTTTTTTACAATTTTTTTTTTTTTTTTTATATTTCACCTAAAATTTATTTAATTATTTAGTTGACTTCAGCGGTAACTTGTTCTTTGGTAATTTTACCTTTTTCTTCTGAAGATCTGTTTTTACGTTCTAATAAAGCTTTTCTGTCTTTATCTAATTTTAATTTGGTGATGATGACGTTTGATGGGTTGACACCGATTTGAGCAGTGTTACCGTTGACTTTGGTGACAGTAAGTTTGTCAATGTGGATGACGTATTTCTTTCTGTAACAGGCAACAACTTTACCTTCGTGATTTTTGTTATCACCACAAACAACACGGACTTCATCATCCTTTCTGATTGGGAGTGATCTGACCTGTAATTATGATTAATATTAGATAACTGTTTTGTGTTTTTTTGTATTGTGTGTGTTTTATCCAATAGTTGTTTTGGTTTTTGTTTTACATACGTTGTATTTGGCACGGAGATCGGCTGAGAGGGCAGCGCTCATACGGATTCTTCTTTCACCTGAGCTGGCGGTGAAGTGGGCCTTTCTTGATTTTCTACGGGATGAGCTGACGCTGTAATGTTATAATTCAAAAGATAGATGATAGATAATGAATAGAGATAGAAAGGATATTAATACATATTCTATTTTATAACTTAAATGTTGGATAGATGATGGATAGATGTGGATAACTAAAGATTAATTGATAAAATGATAAAATATATAATGATATATCCATAATATTACTTTTTATTGTATTTCATTGTGTAGCTTGGTTGGTCAACGTAAAAACGAATAGATAAAATATTATGAAAAAAAAAAATCAAAAAACTGTGCTAATTTTTTTTAAATTTTTTTAAATTTTTTTTTAAAAAATTTTTTTATTTTTATATGACATTACGTTCCGCACAATTGTTTTTTTTTTTTTTTTAAATTTTTTAATAAGCAATTTAAATAAAATCAAATTAAAATTAACCATTTATTTAATAAATAATAATTTAATAATTTGTATAGCTTATAATAAATAAAATAGTTATTACTAATAATAAATTAAATATATGAATACATATTTTTTTAAATATTTAACTATTTTTTTTTTTTTTTTTAATTATTTTAATTTAAATTTAAATTTTAATATAAATCAATATGTCTAAATATTTTTATAAATATAAAATATAAAATGTAAATATAAAATAATTTATAAAATTAAATTTAAGTTTTATAAATGTGTGTGGTGTGTTCATTTTTATTTTTTTTATTTTTATACAAATATGAAAAAGTGTGTGGTGTGTTTGTGTGGGCGATAAAGGACAACAATTTAATAATTTTCTATATCAATAAATTTATAAGTTTATAGGTTTCTATTTTTTTTTTTTTTTTTTTTAAAGTTATTTTTATAGTTTAGTTTTATTTTTTTTAAAAAATTTTATTTGTTCCCTACTATTTTATTTTAATTTTTTTTTTCTTTTGTTTATAATTTTTAATATTACAATATAAAACAAATGAAACAAATAATAAATTCAAAAATAAAAAAAATAACACAATGAAATTAAAAGTATTTTTTTTAATATTTATTTTATTTTTAGTAAAAGATAATAACTTTGTAAAATCAGAATATAACGAAATAAAATCAAATATAAAATCAAATAATGATAAACCAATTTTAAAATTTAAAAGTGATAAAACTTTTAAAATAATACAATTTACAGATTTACATTATGGATATGGTGGTTATTACGATACAATGACATTGGATAGTCAGAGTAAGCAAAATTAAAAATATACAAATAAATAAAAAAATTAAAAAATTATAAAAAATTAATCTTTTTTTTTTTTTAAAATATAGTATCAATTTTAGAAAAAGAAAAACCAGATTTTGTTATGTTTTCTGGTGATATGATATCAGGAAATTTACTACATTTTAATCAAACTAAAATATATGAATATTATTGGGATTTATTTACAGGACCATTGGTGGAAAGAAAGATACCATGGGCAATAACCATGGGAAATCACGATGCAGAGGGATTGTTAAAGGTAGATGATTTAATAGAAATGGATCAAAGCTTCGAATATAGTTTAACAAAACGTGGCCCTAGGAATATACCCGGCGCAGCAAATTATCATTTAAAAATTTATTCATCCAATAGCACAAGAAATCGACACGATAATAATAGCGATATTCATCAGGAAGAGGAGCAATTCAGCAACAATGGAAATAAGGAGAATGTGGATGTATCATCATTTATTTATATATTCGACAGTGATTCAAAGAAATGCGATAGATTAGATTGGGGGTGTATTAATAATGGCCAGGTTCAATGGTTTAAAAATATTTCAAACTTCAATCAAAAAAAAAATTCAATATCATTTGTGCATGTACCACCCATCGAGGTTATAGACCTCTGGAACAACCATGATGAAATCGAAGGTTCATTTGATGAGCCATCGTGTTGTTTTGATGATGGAAATTCACATTTTGTTAGAGCATTATTGGATCAAGGTGACATCAGAGGACTTTATTTTGGGCATGATCATAAAAACGACTTTCATGGTAACTATAAAGGAATGGATATGGGATATGGAAGAAAATCAGGATTTGGTTCGTATTCTTCCAAGAAACCTTTAGGTGCAAGAATCATCCAATTAAATGAAGATCAACAAGGCAAAAATTTTATAAAAACTTGGATCACAGAATCAAATGGCGAGGTCTTTATTCAGAAGAAACCTTTAAAAAAAAAACATTATAGACATAGATGTATTTTAAAAAAAAGTAAATATCATATTTCTATTTTTTATTTTTTTTTTTATTTTTTTTTTTTTTATCATTTTTACTAATTAATTTTTTTTTTTATTAGTTGATTTCCTAAAGGATGTTTTAAGAATTTTTATACCAATCGCAAGTTTTGTTTTCATATTCGAGGTTGTAGTTTTATTTTTCATTGTAAAAAGACAAAGAGATCAAAATTTAAAAAACAAATTAAAAAATAGTAACGAAATTAACTATTCTGGTGAAGGTGCAGGTGTTAGGGAATTATAAATAGTTTCGATATTTACATTTTGGGAATTTAAATATTTTTAAAATAAATATTTGAATTAAAAAATATTTTTTTTTATTTTTAATTTTTATATTTTTTAATTTTTTTTTTTTAAAATTTTCTTAATATAATCAAAATTCTTTTAAATTCATAATTTTTTTTTTTTAATTTCAAAACAATATCATGCAGATTTTTAATTTCTTTCAAAATAACAAACAAATAACCCCAAATAATTTAAATTAACATAAATAAATAAATAAATAAATAAATAAATAAATAAATAAATAAATAAATAAATAAATAAATAAATAAATAAATAAATAAATAAATAAGAAAATAAATAGATACAATAATGACACAGCATAATTTTAATATACCAAATTTTTCACAAGACTTTAATCCAATTAAACCTCATAATTTTAATAATTTAATTCAATTAAATGATATGGAAATATTTTTATTTAAAACACCAAGCAATAAAAAGACGATATTAATTACAGAATTAGAGCGTAGTATCAAAGAGAAAGATTTAAGAGATATATTTAGTCGTTTTGGTTTAATTTATGATATCAAAATTTATATGGATCAAAACAAACCAACATCAATGTGTTTGCTTAAATTCTTTCTGGAAAATTCAGCAACTATGGCCCATAATGCAAGTGTAAGAAATGAAATCGAGATCAATGGAAAGCATTGTAATGTTATGATCTCAAAGTTTAAATCAGATAAAGAACTTGACATGCCAATTACTAAATCCATTCAAGCTATTAATGGAATATTGGGTTTTAATCAGTGGTCAACAGAAATCAATCAAATGGAAAGAGATTATACTAGAGAATTAATTGTAGAAAATCAAGAAACCAACGAAATTAAAAAAGTTTTCGAATCAAGGTGGGCCTCCCAAGTTTATTTTACTTTAAAACAAATCGACTTAAAAGTTCAAGCAGTTGGTTTTGGTACTGAAGAAGGTGATACTGTCGATGATGCAGTTAAACAAGCCAAAAAAGTTTCAATCACCAATGCCAGAAAAGAAATTTTCTCTAAAATTGGTATCATTATTAATAATTCTGATAATACATCAACCCCTTTTGTCTTGGATGAATCAATTATAGTTTTACCACCACAAGAAGAGGATCATAACCAATATTTTGATGACTCTTTTATAAATGATGAATTAAACCAACAACAACAAGAAGAGGAGGAACAACCATTACAACTGCAACAAGAAGATGAATTTATTTTAAATGACAATGAAATAACTATGGATTTTGATTTCGATGCAACAATACCTCAATAAATATAGAAATATTATTAATATTAAATTGTAAATATGTAAAATTCTGAAAATAAATAAATTTCATTTTAATTTATCTTTGAAAATAAAAAAAAAATAAAAAAAAAAAATAAAAAAATAATAAAATAAACTATTTAATTAATAACTAAAAAAAAATTATAATTTATAAAAATATTTTGTTTTATATAAACAATATATTTAAATAAAAATAAAAAATTTATGTAAAAACAATGTTGAAAAAAAAAAATTTTATGTAAAAATTTTATGTAAAAATTTTTTTTTTTTTTATTTTTTTAAAATTTTTTTTTTTTTTTTCGGTTTTTGGCACCTAACAAAATTAAATAATTTTTTTTTTTTTTCTTCCTTTTTTTTTTTGTTATCAACCTCGTCACAAAAATGTCAGCTGTTGCCCAACCAAAGAACGTTGTTCAAACTCACGGTAAAAAAAGGTGAGCATCTATCCTTATTACAACATAATTTATATATGTATATTTATATTGTATGTAATTTTAAAAAAGGGATACGATGAAGGGCTTAGGCGTATGATATTGTGTGTATTATAATTTTTGAAAAAAAAAAAAAAAGATTAAGTATGACAAAGGAAAATAATTTAATAAACTATTTTAACCTTTGTATATACTTTTATTTTTTTTATTTCAAATTATCATGAACCTTTGGTTGTATTTTACATTTGCATTACCATTATAATTCAATGTATAAATCAATCATTACTATGATATTTTTTAAAATATAATACAATTAAAACACATTTATTACACCTAAGCCTTGAATCTATCTTGATTTTTATTTACATTTCTATATAATATATGAATATGAATTATATTTGAATTAAATATTAACCTTTTTATTTTTATTAATTATCAAATAATTTAGAACCGCCGTTGCCGTCGCCTACTGTACCAACGGTAAAGGTTTAGTCAAAGTCAATGGTGTTCCATTAGAATTCATCCAACCAAAGAACTTAAGATTAAAAGTTTACGAACCATTAATTATTGTTGGTAAAGAAACCTACTCACACATTGACATCCGTGTCCGTGTCAAGGGTGGTGGTTCAGTCGCTCAAATCTATGCCATCAGACAAGCCATCGCTAAAGCCGTCGTTGCTTACCACCAAAAATTCGTTGATGAAGAAAGCAAAAACGAAATCAAAAAGAAAATCTTAGATTACGATCGTTCACTCTTAGTTGCTGATCCACGTAGATGTGAACCAAAGAAATTCGGTGGTCGTGGTGCCCGTGCTCGTTTCCAAAAATCATACCGTTAAGGTGTGTGCTTTGTTTACGTTTTTATATTGGCCCATCCAAAATAAAGATTGTTATATATTTTTTTCAATTTTAAAACGAAAAAACTTTTATTATTTTTATTTTTATTATTATTTTGTAATTTATTTAGTTGTTTAGATTTAGGTGCTTTTAATTATACAAATGACCAAAGGAAAGAAAATAAATATTGTTATCATATAAATTGTAAATTTAATCGCCAATAAAAATAAAATATTATGAATTTATTTTTTAGAGATAAATAAAATTAGATACAATAAAAAGTTTTGTAAAAACACAAAATTAGAAAAAAAAATTAAAGAAAAAAAATTGAAAACTTTATTATTTTGCTTTATACAGTTTTGGAGGGTTTGAAATATATTAAATACTACTATTATTGTTAATTTTTTTATCTTTTGATCTAATCATTGTATAGAAAAATGGTGCCTCTTCTTTCTGAAATTAGTTTTATTAAGTAAAAAAATATTAAACATTAATAAATATTATCTTACAATCATATGACAATACGAAATATATCTTACATTGTGTTGTTTATAATATCTTGACATTGCAAATCCTTGTTTTTTAAAGAATTCCGAAAACTCTAGATCACATTCTGTATATACAGAGACATCTTCTTGGCTATCCACAATATCTAAAAGTTTTTTAATTAATTCTCTTCCTCTACCTGCTCTTCTAAGCTTTGGATCAATTGCGATACAATTTAAATAGTAATGATTTTTTTCACCCATTTCTTTCCGATGAATCTAAAATAAATAAAAAAAATTAGTGTTAATGAATCATAATTAATATTGGTGTGAGTGAAATAATAAATACCCTTTCAGCAAAGTCAGAGGATTTTAAAATTCTAGTTAGTGGACCAAAGCCTAAATGGAAAGGTGCGCCCAACATTCCAACTTTAACCATTTGAGCAATTGATATACCATTTACATCGTGTGGTGGTTGCACTACCATTACACCCGAGATTGTTTTATCTGCTTCAAAAACACCCCATACTCTTGCCTTTGTGACTGCATATGCCAGCATTTTTTCACAAAACCATTGGCCTGCTGTAATTTTATAAGAAACATTCCCAAAAAAAAATTTCATAAATATATCGTCTCTTGTTGCTCTTTCTAATATTACTGATGCTTCCTTTATATCATCAATTAATAGTTCACGAACCGTATATGTTTTTTTAACATGGCTTTTATGAGATTCGTCAGGTTGGTGCTCTTGTTGCGGTTGTTGTACCTGTGTTTGTAATTGTTGTGGTTGGTGTATTGATTTTTGATTTTGATCATGTTGTTGTGGTTGTGATTGTTGTGGTTGTGATTCCATATGTTTAATGATATCTCTTAATGTATAGTTGGGTGTTAGTTCATCAACTTGTAAACTATTATTACATATTGGGCATGTCTGTATAATTAACATTAGGGATTAAATTCTAGCTTTGGGTAAAAAGAAAGTTTATAATTACTTTTTTTTTTAATAACCATTCCGTTATAGATTCTTTAGAGAATGAGTGGCCACATTTTGATATAACTGGCTCTATCATTACCTCGAGAGTTAAAGGATCTAAAAAAATATCATTTTCCATTCTATCTTTTTTCCTTTTTTTTTACAAACTATAAACACAAAAATATATATATTAAAAATACAGTTTAAATAAAAAAAATTTTATATAAAAAAAAATTAAATTTAAAAAAAAATAAAAATAAAAAAAAAATAAATTTAGAGAAGCGGCAGCAATTATGTGAATTTTTTTCGATTAAAACAAAAAAACCAATCATGATTTTTCTATATATAATTTTTTTATTTTTTATTTTTTATTTTTTATAAATGATCACTTAAAACACCAAAAAAAAAAAAAAATATATATTTTAATTTTATTTAATTTATTTAGTCCAATTCTTGATTAAAATATTTATTTGTTGATGTCAATTTTTTTTAGCTCATCGATTCTATCAGAATTCTTTTTGTAAATAATTTCTGAATGTGGATGTTTTTCATCTGAAAATAAAAAATTAAAATTTATTAATAGATGGAAAAAGGATTTATAAAACTGTTTAATGTAATATTACCTTTAACAAAATGGAGAATTGTCATTTCAGTGGTGGCTAAAAATGTACCCATTTGTCTAATTCTTTTGAGTGAGACATCATTTTCAATCTTATTAATTGAACCAGAGCCATCAGTAATGATATGGGTTTCATAACCTGCTTTACCTAAATCAATGGCAGTTTGGAATAAACAAACATGCAACTGAAAAAAAATTATATACAATTAAATTAGTATTTGGAGTGATATGGTATTTAAAAATTAATAAATAAATAAATAAATAAATACCTCATAACCTGTGATAATAATTGATTGGAGATGTGGATAATTAGTTTGAATGTATTGCTTTATACTCTCATCCCACATTGAATATTTTGTTTTTTCAAATACTTTATGTTTGTTGGCATCTAGGGTTTCCTCTAATTCACCATATCCTTTATGTTGTGTAAAAATAATTGGAATGTTTAATAATTCACATACTGAAATCTAATGATAAAAAAAAAAGTAGAGTTAGCATATTATAAATTAAAAAAAAAAAAAAAAAAAAAAAAAAAAAACAATATTTACTAAGCATTTGTTGTTTATTAAAAACTCTTCATATCTATTACTTAGTGGCTGATAGTATCTTTGGAAATCGCATCTTTATTAAAAAATAAAAATTAATAAAATTTATATAAACAAAACATACTTTTATTGAATACCAACACAAATAATGCAGTAGTTTCTTGATTCAAGTCTCCAAATTTGTTCATTTAATGGTGGTATTTTAAAACTATATATTTAATTAGAATATGATTTTTAACAAAATTAAAAAAAAAATGAAATATTTTATAAAAATTTTAAAAAAAATAAAAAAAATAAAATAATATAAAATTATTTTATAAAAAATATAATTAAAAAAAAATATAAAATTTAATATATGTTATTATTAAATATTATTATTTTAATTTTTTTTATTAAAGATTTGCATTATTATCTCTTCTTTCTTTGACAATTTTAATGAGAGTTTTGAAATTTTTATGTTTTGAATCTAATAAATAAAAAAAAATATGGAATTATCAATAACTATTTTTTTAAAGATTTTATTTCTCCAAAAATTAAAATGAAGATTATATTTACCCTTTGCCATTTGGAATATTATAGACTCTGAGTTAATTACAAAGGCACCAGATTGCTTTAATCTTTCCAATGCAATTTTACGGTCATGAGAGGTTACACTCGAAACTGCTTCCTCAACAATATGGACATCATAACCTTGTTCGAGTAAATCGAGTGTTGTTTGGTATATACAAACATGAGCTTCGATACCAGCAATCATAATCGACTTAACAGACTTGTGATTTTCATCTAAATATTTTTTAACTTCTGGTGTGTACATTGAAAACAAAGTTTTTTCAAATAACTTGGTACTGGGTCCGAAATCTTCTTTTATTAATGGTACTGTTTCACCTAGTACCTTTGGATATTGTTCTGTTGCAATAATTGGGACTTCTAATTCTTTACAAACTTTCATCATATATTTGGTTTCTTGAACTATACTATTAAATTTAAAAATATCATTTACAAATTTAGTTTGTAAATCACAAACAAAAAAGGCAGTAGTTTGTGGAAAGAGTTTTCCTATTTTATTCATTTCTTTTTTTTTTTTTTTTATTTATTTGTTTGTTTGTTTGTTTGTTTGTTTGTTTATTTATTTATTTATTATTTGTTATATAATAAAAAAATTATTAAAAGATAAAAAAAAAATTTTTAAAATTAATACAAATTAAAAAAATTTAAATTTTTTTTTTTTTTTTTTTAATAATAATGAATTTGTTAAATCTACAATTTTATCATAAAAAAAAAAAAAAATTTCCTTATAAAATAAATTATAATAACATTAAAGAAATTAATGGAATTATCTTATTTTACCACCCAATTATCTTTTGTAGCTGTTCTGATTTGGGTCCATGGTTTCCAATTTTGAAATTTCACAATAACAACAAAGCTTGGAAATAAAATGAACTTGATTTTTTTTTAATGTCAAATAAATTTTTTAATAGAAATTTTCGGAAAAGAGTTTTCTTTTCTTAACTCTTAAATTTACCCTGGTTTTTTTTTCCTACAAAAACACCTAAGATAATATTGAAATTTTTAAAAAAGGGTTTGGGACCCAAGCAAATTTCCAACTCCCTAAAAAAAAAAAATTAAAAAAAAATAAAATTAAAAATATTTTTTTTTTTAGTTTTTCTCTATTTTTTTTTTTTTTTTTTTTTTATATTTAATCATTCACCCATCTTTTCAAATAGTCATAAATAAAAATGAAAATATTAAGTTTAATATTTATAGCTATTTGCTTTATCAACATTATTTCAGCTGTAAGTTATTAAAATATACAATAAATATAAACAAAAAAAAAAAAAAAAAAAAAAATGCTCCAAACCCACCTCTCAAAATGACGCCAATGCACAAAAATAAAAATATAATTTATAAATTTCATTTTTTTTTTCCGACTATAATTTAAAATATTGGAATAAAAGGAACAAATAAATAAAATTTACTATTATATAAATTAATCATAGGATTCGGAATAAATATTTAGTGCTATTTATTTCCATAAAAAAAAAAAAAAAAAAAAAAAACGATAAAAAAGATATAAAAAATAAAAAAGATAAAACAATAGATAAAAAATATAAAAAGATAATTTATTAACTAAATATATTCAATTGTAGGATGGAGTTTTTAATTCTACATTAGATTTTGGAACAGTTGCCAAAGGAAAGTTATATTCACAAAAATTCGATAGTATTCCATTACCACAATCAAATTTCAATTTACAAGGTATTCAAGCTATTATTATTAATAAAACTAGCAATGCTCCATTCGACCATGGTTTCCTTTCAACCTGTGCTTTAGATTTCACAATCAATGGTAAAAAAATTGTTTCATTCACTGCTTCTAATATTAATAATCAATTATCATTCCCATCACCATATGTTGTTCCAGTTACGTATGTTATTTTAGATTATATTATAGTTACACTATAATTTATTATTACTATTACTTAAAAGCGTATTAACTTAATTTTACATATATCTGTATATTTTAGTGATACTGTTACTTTAACTGTTCAAATGTATACCTTAAACAAAGAACCAGTTGATGTTTTAGTTCAATATTATATGAAATGGACCGAAGCTGGTACATCATCAACTTTTGTTAAATTAACTCGTACTGCTTCATCAGTTGTTGCTAATTACTCATCATTCAATGTACCAGCTGGTAATGGTCAAGGTTATACCATTCAAAACTCTATTACTTGGACTTCAAACGCCGAAGTTATGGATTTCCAAGCTACTGTCTCACCAGGTATTATTAGTTTAAGTTTTATTGAAGATACAAGCGGTACTCAAACTGTTATTTGTAAATCAACTCCAGTTTACATTGGAAAGGTATTTATGAAAATGACACCATGCAACACTGTCCAATCATTATACAAAGGTTCAACTTATATTACTCAAGCAGTCTACAACAATACAGTTGCACTTAAAAATGTTTTCGGTACCTTTGGTTTCTATGCTGGTTATCCAAACCCACATACAACTACCACAACTGGTGGTCACTCTACAACTGGTGGTGCTTCAACTACTGGTGGCCATTCAACAACTGGTGGTGCTTCAACTACTGGAGGTCATTCAACTACAGGTGGTGGTACAGGTGGCCATTCAACAGGTGGTGGTACAGGTGGTCATACAACTGGCGGTGGTTCTGGTGGTCATACTGGTGGCACAACAGCCCAAACAAGTGGTAGCCACTCAGAATCAGAATCAGAATCATCAGATTCATCAATTTCAGGTTCATCACAATTCACTTCAACCACTGGTGCAAGTAGCCAACCATCACCAGATTCATCAGATCAAACTTCATCAACCTACACATCTGGTACATCTGGTTCATCAGGTTTAATGTGGACCGGTGACAAACGTAAAGTTGAATTTTATTAAAATTTAATAAATAAATACAATTTAAACACAAACAATATATTTTAAATAAATATATTTTATAATCGATCAAAAAAAAAAAAAAAAAAAAAGTATATATAGTAGTTTGTTTTTATGTTTGTTTTTTTAATTTTAATATTTAATATTTTATTTTAATAGTTTCTTTTTGGCACTTTCTAAAGTATTTTTCATTAACATGGCAATTGTCATTGGACCAACACCACCTGGAACTGGAGTAATATATGAAGCAGTTTCTTTACAATCATTAAAATCTACATCACCACATAACTTACCATTTTCATCAGTGTTCATACCAACATCAATAACAACTGCACCTTGTTTAATCCAATCTTTTTTAACTAATTTAGCTTGACCAATTGCAACTACTAAAATATCAGCTTCTCTACATTTTTCTTTTAAATCTAAAATGTTTTTAAAATACATTATTAATAAACACAATACATTATTAATAAATACAAAAGTAAGAAAAAAATACATACCTTGAGTCTTTGAGTGGCAAATTGTAACAGTTGCATTTCTATTTAATAATAATAATGAAACTGGTAAACCAACAATGTTTGATCTGCCTAAAACAACAGCGTTTTTACCTTCGATTTTAATACCACTTCTATCTAATAATTCGATACAACCTTTTGGTGTGCAAGGTTGGAAATCTGCAACTCTTCCTCTCATTCCTAATTTACCAATATTTACTGGATGGAAACCATCAACATCTTTAGTTTCACAAATTTGATTCTAAAAATAAAATATATTAATATCTTTGTATCCATATCTTTTTTATTATTATTATTATTACTTACCAAAATGGTTTCTTCATTAATATGTTTTGGTAATGGTAATTGTACTAAAATACCATCGATTTCTGGGTCAGCACTATATGATTTTACGATTTCAATTAATTCTTGTTCAGAAATATCTTCTGGTAAAGTTTTATCAATTGAATTTATACCTAATTCTAATGCAGTTTTCTTTTTATTTCTTACATAAGTTTGTGAATCTTTTCTATCACCAACAAGGATAACAACAAGGCATGGTGCTCTTAATCCTTTTTCGGTCATTTCTTTAATTTCATTTTTGATGGATTCTCTAACTTGTGATGAAATTACTTTACCATCAATAATATTTCCAAATTCTTGTTTAGTTGTGGCCATTTTTTTTCTTTTATATATTTATTTGTTTGTAATCTTTATTCTATATTTTTTAATAATAAAAAAAAAAAATTAAAATAATATGTTTAAAAAATAAAAAATAAAATTTAAAAAAAAAAAAAAATAAATTTCAAAAAAAAAATTAAAAAATAAAATAAAATTTGTTTGATCTTGTTTTTTCTTCGTTGAGTCATCTTAGAAACATGTTATTGATAAAAATGGGGGATTTATTTATTTATTATTATAATTATTTTTTTTATTGGTGCCATGTCAAATAATAGTTTTTGTGTAAGGGAAAATAAAACTTTCCTGTGAATTTTTTTTTAATATATTAAATTTTTTATATTAAAATTGGATATTTTTAAATTTGGATATTTTAAAAAAAGTGTGGTTTGGAAATGAAAATATAAATAGAGCTATTTAGGATGGGTGATCTTCTTATACAATTCTGTATAAAAAGAAACAACTCCAAAATGAGAATAAAAATATTTTCAATATTTAAACCGAAATATATATTATTGATAGAGAGAAAAAGAGAAAGAGAAAGATAATAGAAGTTATTATTTGCTATATTTGTTTATTTGTTTTAATTGTTTCATTTTTATTTTTATTATACTATTATTAATATTGTGTAAAGGTCTAAATTGAATTCAATTTTAACCTAAATTGAAAAAAAAATGTAAAGTTGTTTTAGATTATCAAATTTAACAACAGCAAATATGATTACTTATTGATAAGGGGATGGTCATCTGTTCCAAGATAGGAGTGGTAGAATATCTGTTACTCCAGATTACACAATAACTAACCACGCCATAACCAATAAATAAATAAAATTAACGACCCCACATTAAAAAAAAGAAAAGTAAATAGTAAAGAAGAGTAGGGATAGAGTTATTCGCTTTTTGTTTTATACAATAATTAATGATTCAATACACAATAAAACAATTTAAACACAAAATACAAAATTGATCATCAATCATTGATACATAAGAATCTTATTATAACCCTATATATCTCTTGTGGTATAAGTATCTAGTATTTCTAATTTTTGGGGATTAAATTTTGCTAAATTGAAAGTAAAATCTGTCATTATCATCCCAATTTAAATTTAATCGTTCTATATTATTTTTTTATTTTTGTTTTGATATTTTTTCTAACCTTTTTTTATATCTAATTTTAAAAAATTAGTTTAAACTTACATATTAAATTATTATAATTATGCTATTTTATATTGATTTAAAATTTATTATTACTTTGTTATTTTTTTATCTATTTATTATTAAAATAAAAAAAAGAAAAAAAAAAATTATTGTTTTTTAAATTTAAAAATTATTTTTTATATTTTTCTAAAAATGGGTAGTGATCTTTTATTCATTACTTTTCTTTACTTTTTATTATGATATTTATCAATAGATTATTTTGTTATTTTTTAATTTTATTATTATAGAAAATAATATTATTATTCTTTTGTTTTTATTCCATATACAGCGAAATATATATGGGTGTGGGAGTGTGAATGTGTAAAAAATAAAATAAACTATAAAGTTAAATTTAAATATTTAAATTTGTAGGTAATTGATTTTTTATTTAAATTAATTTTTTTGAATTGTTTCTAATTTGTTGATCTTATAATTAAAATTTATTAATAATACAATTATTATTATTATTATTATTATTATTATTATTATTATTATTATTATTATTATTATTATTATTATTATTATTATTATTAATACATTTGGATTTGTAGTTATTGAGATTTAGATTTAAAAAAAAAAATTTTAAATAAAAAAAAAAAAAAAAAAAAGATAAATCTTTGGAATTTTATTTTTTTACAATGGTGGTGGATTACAATCAATATCAAACTTCTCTACATAATATAAATATAAGCAATACCATTGAGCAGCCCATCTATTTGCAAAATTGATAACTCTACCAGCGATTTGGAAATCCCATTCCAATGCCTTTTCTAAATTCCAACCTTTGAATCTCATAACATATGAGGCCATTACTTCACCGGTTCTATCACAACCACATTCACTATATAGATGAATAATACAATATTAATATTAACAAATTGATTATTTAATATTTTATTTGTTATTACTAATACTTACCAATGGACATATAAAACTACTGGTAAATCTCTTTGAGTTATAAGTATATTATGATAATCTCTCATTCTTAGTGGAAGGTTATCCTTTGACCAAGTTGGAAGAGAAGTAGCATATTTCTCAAGATTATCTTTGCTAACAAATTGTGGGTCAATAATATCACCAAAAGTTTGGTTCATATGAAATTCTCCAAGTTGTGGTTCTGCTGCAAAAAAGTTTTGTTCGAGTTCAACATCTTTTAATTCTGATGGTAATGGACCTGTTACTAATTTAATATCTATTATATAAAATTGATCTGGTAATGTGATGCCATAAACTGTTTGTGAATTATTTCTCATATATTCTACTAAATCATCATATGCTAAAATTGCAGTACCTTTTATTTTTTTAAATAAAAAACTATTAGCTATATTTTTCTATAATAATACTATAATTTGATTTATTAATACCATTTGATAGGGTTTTTTTTGGTTCGTTTCCTCTAAAAAAATAGTTGGTATTTCCATTTGGAAGTTGGTAGTAATCGACCAAGTGAACTTTTCTTGATTCTAAATCACTCGATTTTACAAAAGTAACACACAATAACAAAAATACAAGAATATTTATATATTTCATTTTTAATGACTATACAAAATAAAATAATTAAAATATATTCGAAAATAAAAAAAAAAAAAAAAAGAAATTATTTAAAAAAATAAAATTAAAAAAAAAAAATCTTTTTTTTTTTTTTTTTGAGATTCAGTTATTTGGTACCAGATGAAAGGTTATTCGAAAAATACTTAATTTGAAAAGATAAATATAAATAATGATAATGGTATTAAAATTTTTTTTTTTTTTTTTACTATTTAAATAATTATGTATATATATCTATTATTTAAAATTTTTATTTATTTTATAATTTTGGTTGATGATTATAATTCTTTTACATCAAAAGGTAAAATTACTAAACTACCATCGTTTAAACCAATCATTAAAAATCTTTCTCTTGCAACCAATTCAACAGTTTTTATGGCTGATGGACTTTCAAAGCTATAAACTATATTGAGATGAGGTAATTGTCTTATTTTAACACCACAGGAACCACCAGTTACTAAATATTGATTTGATGAGCCTACACCTAAAACACCACCCTTCTTGATTGACTCGCCAGTGAGTTTGATATCGTAAATTTTTTCGTCGCATTGTTCAATTTTTAATAGTTTACCATTAAAAGAATGAACATAGAGGAATGATTTTGAACAATAACTAATTATGGTTTGACCTACAGTACAGATTTTAACGATTTCAACCGCACCATTATGGGTCATGGATCTTTGGAATTGACCTTTATGTAATGAGTGAAGGATTAATTTTCTATCTAAAGAGCCACTTGCAATGAGATCCCATTCTTCGTTGATATCTAAACAGAGTACTGCCTCGTCGTGACTGCATAAACGATAAGATTGTTTGGCTCTTGGGTCACGAATTAAGCAATCGATATCATTCCAAACTAAAATGGTTGTATCTGATGAAGCTGTTGCTAAAGTTTTTCCGCTGGAACCCATTGAAATGCAAGTTACCATATCATTATGGAAATCACGATATAATCTATGAACTTTACCTGTTTGAATATTGCTACATTTAAATACGCTATCCCATGTGGCACATGAAAACATCCATTTTCCATCTGGTGTAATTGCAAAGCAATTTGAAATACATGTAACACTATCGGACATGAATAAAGTATCGATTTGTTTTTCTTTATAGGTTGATAAGGTTTTATCGATATCGAATGTAAATGGTAGATTACCTGATGGTGATGGTACAAACTGATTAACTGCCATAACTCCATCCCTATATACCAATACTACGATATCACTATCTAAACAACTACCAATATATACTAATGGTAAACTGCTTTTAGTTTTTAATACTTTAAATGGATATTGTAATGATGGACCTTGTGGTGATGATAATGAATTAATAACTCCATCGCTATTTGGTGAGGTAATGGTTGGTGAAGTTGCAGATGATGATGAGGATGACGATGATGGGAAAAGATTTGTAAGACGTGCAAATATATCTCTGTGGGGTCTATTAATTTCTTGAAGAGTTTTACGAGTTGGATGAGGTTTAGTAAATAGTTGTGGTGGAGTTTGACCAAACTCTTTAATTTGGCTAGCAATAGATTGACGTTCTTCGGGGTCATCTCTTTGAAGTGCAGCATTATTTTCATAAGTTAAATGGAAGAACACATTATGAGAGTCTTCGGCAGCTTGACCAGTTTGTTTATACCCAAAAATTAAATCTATCCAATGGTGTAAATTCATTGATACGTATTCAGATTCTAATGCCTCTCTATTGATCTGTACAAATAATTCTGGTGAATTGTGAGCCCAAGGTGGTAATATTAAATCTCCAGATTTTGAGTTTGTAAAACCAAAATTAAAACCTTCATTATTATTGATAAACTCTGGCATATAGTAAAACTCTGGAATCAATTCTTTGACATCGGCTAAATTTGAACTAATAACACCATCCCACATCTTTTCCATTGATTCAAACATTCTTTGTGGATGATCAAATACACCACTTTGCAATGATAAATGGAAGGATGTAAATGGCTCTAATCTAACTTGATAATATGCTACAATACCAAAATTGCTATAGTGCGAACCATAAAGGAAAGGAGGGATTTGTGGGTCATTAAGTGACTGATAACGTTGAATTAATGTTTCGAGACGTTGTTGATTGAGAGCACCAATTGGTTTAGATAAATCTCTAAATGATTTTGGGTTGTTGAGATCGAGGAATTCTGATTTATAATCGGTAATAATTTGAGGAAATACTGGATATTGTGAGATATCATTATAGGTACGACCTGCAATAGTATTCAAGGACATTAGATATTCGAAATTTGAAATCTCTCTATTCTTCCATTTAGCTGTTAATTTTGATTTTTTAATAATCTTTGATGGATGATCTGACCATTTAACTTTGAGATTTGGTGGATGTAAATTTACAATCTTGTTAAATACTGAAATCGATTCGGACTCCTTTGAGAAGGTGATCATATAGCTCTTGTGGTTTAAAAATATTTCGATTGAATTCCAACGTAATAAATATCTAATACGGTGAATCTCTTCTAAATCTTTTAATTTCCAAATATAAGTATTTTTAATTTTAACTGAACCATAATCTGGATCTGGGACTTGTCTACCTGTGATTGGATCAGTTTGAATATCTTTATCAAATGATAAAATATGAGTTGTAATTGTAAATATACCTGGAACAACACCTACTGGCATTACCATTTGACATTTATATTGTGCTACGAATTTTTCTGGTACTTCGGATATATCATTTGAGTTGCCAGAGGTATTCATAATGTCCATTAACATTTGTGATGATGAGTTTGATAATTGGTTATTATAATTTAAAATATTGTTTGTATTTACTAAATTTGCTGGTGATGATATGATATTAAGATTACTATTCAATGCATTATTGCTATTGATATTACTTGAAAGTGATGGTGAATCATTATTAAAGATATCTTTAACGTTTGTTTTTGATGGTGATTTCATAAATGATGGACCTACACTTGCCGAACTACTTGAAGCTTGCTGAGATGGTGACATAAATGATAAGCCAATAGTATTTGTTCCACTAGTTATATTGTTGCTGAGATTGCTATTACTATTACTGTTTTTTAAAGGTGTTGAGCTTGATGATGAAAACAAACTACTTGCATGTGGTGAAATGGTTGATGATGATACTGATATTTCTTTTAAAAATTCACGCTCTTTATATGCTGTTGTTTGTGTTGGAATTGGTGGCTCTTCAATATAAACTACAATGATATTACCTAATCCATCACCACAATCTTGATCAATGAAATAAGTTTCAAAATCATTTGAAAATCTATCTAAAATGGTACGTCTACTTCTACCAAATCTATTTTGTTTTGATAATCCCTTATAATCTGATCCTAAATAATTTCTTTTTAATTTTCTTCTCATACGTAATGGACCTTCTGTTCTATTTAATTTCCAATGTACAATTGTTGTATCTTCTGGTTCATCATTTATAGTGCTACTTGTTGCTAAAGTAGTTGTGGTTGTAGTGGTGGTGACGGCAGTTGTTGTAATGGTTGGGGTAATAGCTGGTGAAGATGGTAAAGATGGTATTGGAGTAATAGCTGGTGTTGATGGTGATAATATTGGTGATGTTATTATATTGTTTGTATTTGGTGTACCAGATTCACTTGAACTATTATTTGATAATGAAAAACCAACAGACTCTACAGAATTATTGAATAAAGGTTTTTCTTTAACTAAATTTGTGGTTGAAGATTGCTTAACTACTGTTAAACTACTTGTTATTGGTTGTTCTTTTATAATACCTTTTTCTTTTAATTTTAATAAAATTGGTTTGCTTGATGGTTTTTCTTCTTTGTCACTGGCATTACTATCTTTTATTCTAGTTTTAATACCATTTAAATTACCAGCCCTAACTCTTCTAATTTTTACCCATTGCTTAAATAAAATTAACAATGCTTTCTCGTTATTTTTTAACTCTTCTTGTCTTTTCAATATTTCGTCTGAACAATCTATATCCCAAAGATAGGTCAAATGCTGTGCTAGTTTTGTTTGGGTCATTTGAAAATCCTTTCTTGATTTTAATAAAACATTATCATCTTGTAAATTTGCAGAAGCCAATACATCGTCCCACCAAGTATCTTTGTTTTGAAGTGCTGGTATAATATCCTCTAACATTCTGGTAATATCATCATGATTTTCTATAGTCGACTCTTTCAAGTATAGCGATAACCATTTGGTTTCATTAATTGATAACATTGGGTGGCAGGTTTCTCTAATAATTACAATAATTTGAACTCTAGCTTTTTTAATTTTTTCAATTGATGGTAAATCTTTAAAAATAACCAAATCGTTTCGAATCCAAGTACCACTATTATTAATTTTGATGTTTTTATTACTATTATTATTATTATTATTTATACTATTATTATTGTTTTCGTTAATATTTGGGATTTGATAATATCTTCTTAAAATTGATAACCATTGTTCAATTTTAATAACATTTCTCCAAAAGTGTGAATTAATTTGAATTCTTTGATGAATTGTTTCAAATAGAGCAATTTGGGTTAAAGAATTTGTTTGTGACCAAATTTGAAAATTATTCATTATTAAATGTTGTACTGCTAGTTGCCATAAAGATTTACCACTACAAAAAGAAATCAATCTTCCTAATGAATCAATGTCGTCTGGTGTCCAATAGGGTGCTGATGAAGGCTCGATCTTTAAAAGGAATGAAATAATTTGAAAACCAAGTGATTCTATAATTTGTTCTCTAAATGCTCCAGAGTGTTGAAGTAATGATAATAAAATTTTAAATAAGATGCCTGGATGACCTAAAGAATTTGGGAAAATTGGAACTGGACCACTCGAACCTGGTATTGATACAAAATTAATCTCTGCCAATGATAATGGTGTATGCTCACCAATATCTTGTAATTCAATATCCATTCCGCTGATATTCTGACCCAACTGCGAAAATAAAGGATACACCATTCTTAAACCCCCAATTAAATATAATTGATCTAGAGGTGAAATAGTACGAATAATATTAACACCATCCATTATAGTTGCTGCATTTTTAAGTTCCCCAGATGAAATTTCGAAACACAAAGCTTTATCGGTAGCTCTTGGATGATAATAAAATATTACTGGAATGTTTCTACGACCAGTTTCTAAAAATAACTCCCCATCAAAAACACCAGTAGTCCCTTCTTTTGGAATTTTCTCTTTAAGTATTGTTGAGTTTTTATCCAAAGTATAAAGATGAGCAGCCTCTGATGGTAACAGTGACTCTCTAACCATTAATATATTACCAATTCGACCTAAAAAACCACTATGTAATGAGATAGAATTACCAATATGACAACGAGTGAATGGCTTATCAGATTTAGGATAAAGTAGTGGTAGCTTTTCTTCTAATTTACCATCGACATATAATGATAATACTGACTTTCTTAATAAGAAATATTCGTGAGCTATAATTACATGATACCATCTACCAGGTCTGAACTTGTATAACGAGCCAATACTAGGTTGTTTATTTTTGGTTCTAATTTGAAATATTAATGATTGATTTTGAAATGATATCTCTACACCTATATTGTCATCTGAAAAAAAGCTAAATAACCCTGGTCTATATTTGAGTGCTGTAAAATCATCTGTATTGATCCAAAAACTAAAACTATATCCACCATCAAATGGCTCTTTATCTGGTATCATTAACCCAGCACTTGAATTACTAAAATTAAAATACATATCTGGACCTTGTCTTTTTTTAAATAAAAATTGTAAAATTTCAATTAAAACATTCCAATAGTATGGCTACAATATTCATATAATTAATTAAATGATAAAGGTTAATATTTATATTTTTTTCAAAACAACTATAAACACCATAACTAATATTTACCCTTTCTTCGTTTGAACTTTCTAATAATTTAAAAAAATATTTTAACTCTTTTGTTGTTATATTAAAATTACATATTATTTGAAGGGTAACTGATAATTCACCAATTACATCACTGTCGTGCTTTGATCTACTAATTAAGTAATTTAATAACTTGAATATCCATCTCTGAGTATGACAATAACTCTGTATTAATACACTCGAAAATATTAAACCATTTAACTTTTTTAATAATAACAAATGCAATATCCTATTTCCTGTTGATTCTGTAACTGATAAAAATGATGAATCCAGTATTAAATTAAAAAACATATAAAAATAATCAAACTCTAATTTTTTTGATGAGTGAATATCTTGATTTGATAAAAATATTAACTATATAAGTTTTAAAAGAAATTAATAAATTATTTAAAATATCATTATTAATAATAATAAATTAATTAATTAAACCATACCTTATCAAATAGAATTGTTAAATCTGCTAAATCTGGTTGTCTTTTATTTTTGATTTTTGAAAATAATTCCTGAACATATTGCTCTTCTAATTTATATGATTTTATATTATTGTTATTATTATTATTATTGTTGTTATTATTATTATTTATCGAGCCATTGATACCAGAATTAACTGTTGCTAGTAAAGAAGGCGAATTAACTCTAGAGAGTGTTTGTATTGACCCACCACTAGAGCTTAACTCTATATTTGACATCCCTTTTTTTTTTAAAGTTTTGAAAGGGGGTTTTCTCGGTAAAAATTTTTTTTTTTTTTTTTTTTTTTTTTTTTTTTTTTTTTTTTTTTTTTTTAAAATTAAAAAAAATAAAAAATATTTTAAATTTTATAAAAAAAAAAAAAAAAATTGATTTCTTAAAGTTTAATTAAAAACCAATAGTGTGTATTTAATTATAAGTATGTAGGTGGGTGTGTGTTGTTTATAACAACAATATTATATATTATTAAACAATGTTGTATATTTAATTAATAAAATAAAAAAAAATTTAAAAAAAAATTAAATAAATAAAATTTTTTTTAATTTTTTTATTTTTTCAAAAATTATTTTTTTTTAATTTTTTTAATATTTTTTTGGAAAAACTATAAAATATAAGGTCAACTTTTTTTTTTTTGCATTATATATGTCGAAAGATATTTTACTTGTTACATTTAAAGAAAAAAATAATGTTGAAAAAACGTAACAAAAAAAATGAACTTATAATTCATTTAATTTTAAATTTCATAAAAAGGGTATCTATTTTATAAAAGAAATAATAATTATAAAGATCAAACCCCAATTTTGAGATTTTTACGAAATCAAATTAAATTTTGATTACTCAAACTCCCACATAGAAACTAACAGGCACAAACTCTCTGTTTTTTACCTATGGAATGCTTTTTAAAATCAAATCATCTTTTTTTTTTTTTTTTTTAACTTTATTTATTTATTTTATTTTTTATTTATTTTATTTAGTTTATTTAAACTTTGATTTTAATTAGTTTAAATAAAATAAATAGAAAATAAAATAAAATAGAATAAAAGAAATATTATTTTTATGGTTATAAAATAAAAGAATAATTCAATTTCTTATACTCTTTTTATCGTTTTATTATAATCTAAATAATCATTTGTTATATTTATTATTATTTGATTTCTATTTATTATGGTTGGGGGCGGCGATTGTTTTATATACATGCATACTATTACTATTATTATTATTATTATGTTTAAAAAAGAAAAAACTATATATTATTTAAAATCGGGTGTTGAAGAACCTAAATAAACTTTAACTTCGTTGGGTGTCGATTTAACGATCCTTGCTTTTATAGTTGGTAAATTAAGACGTTTATGAGCTTCCCATCTATGACATCCTCCAAATGAGAAATAGTAGTTATTATTTGCATCACGTCCAGTAACCCAAACCACTACGTTTTTTAAAAATAAAAAAAAGATTAATATAATTACTTCCACAAAAAAAAAATCTTTATAATAAACCTACCATCAACAGGTGGGACATCTTGACCTTTTTTAAGAGTTTCCATTAAAGAAACTACTTTTTCTTCGTCAAGTTCACTTGGTAATGGACGATGAATTACGTTCATTGGCATTTCAACTGTATTTAAAAGTCTAGTATAATTTGACATTATTATATTATATGAATATTGAAAATAAATAAATAAAAAAAGGTTTTGTTTTTTTTAAATCTTGAATTGTTGTGTTTGTTTGTTTTGTTTTAATAAATTATTATAAATTTTAAAAATAAAAAATATAAAAAATTATATTTTATTTAAATAAAAAAAAAATGATTAATAATAATTAGAATTTAAATTTAAAATGGAATAAAAAAATAGAACAAGAATAAAAAAATTATTGGAAATTAGATTTTGACACACTTGAGAGAAAAAAAGGAAAAAAAAAAAATAATTTCTAATTTTAATACTACAATAATATTACAAAGATAAATAAAAAAACAGATTAAATAGGATGATATACGCTATAATATAAAATACTATAAAATTAATTTAATTAAATTAAATGACAATAATAATAACAAGAAAAAAAAAATTAAACAATTGAAAGCAACACATTTCAAAAAAACTTTTTTTTTTTTTTTTTATATATTCAGAATTTCGAGAATCTAATTTAAAAAAAATTATAAAATAAAATTATTTAAAAAAATAAAATAAAATTTATTTTAAATAAAATTTTTTTTTTGATTTTTGTTTTATTTTTTAAAAATTTTTATAAAATAAGTTGGAGTGATATCATTATGATTCTATACTATTTTTTTTTTTTTTTGGTAAAATTTTGCAATATTATTAGTTTTTAATTACAATTTCTTTTTATAAAATACGAAAATTTTTTAATTTTGGGGGGGTTTGTTGGTGTTATCAAAACCATGATTTTGATATTTTTATCCAAGTAATGCCATAAATGAAAAATTTAATATAAATCTAAGTTTTTTTTTCTTTTTTGTAAAATTTTAATAGTAAATATAATATTATCAAAGATTAAATTTAAGATATAATTTAAAAAAAAAAAAAAGAATATAGTAAAAGAGGTAATGGAATCTCCTATTTTTTTTATTTTATTTTTTTTGTAAAATTTTTTAGAAATTGATGGAAAAAACCATATTATTGTTTTTTTATTATAAAAATGGTTAGTTGGGTTTTTGTTTTCGTGCATGTGCCAAGATATTTATTAATGTAATTGGTGAAAATTAAAAATAAAAAATAAAAAATAAAAAAAAATAAAAAATAAAAAATAAACTTAATGAGAGAGTTTATTTAATTCAAATTTTAAATTTTCAATAGAGTTTTTTCCATATATTTCTCTAAATTCATTTGTTCTGAATAAAGATTGATAACCAGCATCAATAAATTTTTGTAGTATCTTTGAACGTCCCTCCTTAAAGAGATGGTCGGGTATATGAATATATTCGTTTCTGATGGAGGTGCTATATTGGTCATAGGTTTCTCTGTCAGTGCCTAAAATTGATAGGTCAAAGTCCAAGAAATAATCTAAATCCGAGTCTCCATTAGTTTGAACTGAGGTATGATTCTTTGTAGCCATAATATAGTTGTAAACTCTTGTAGTTAATTCATTTGATAGTTTTAAATCATTTGAAAACTCTTTGAATAGTTGTGCACTTTGATCCTCGTTGTCATGTTTAGTTGGGTCATAAACAATATCGTGGAACCATATTGCCCATTGGACGGTTTCTGGTGATTTTAATTTACTTGAAAATTGCTCTTCTAATTTTAATAATTCATTGATATGTGTTAATGTGTGATAGTATCTTTGCTTTTCAGTATATCTTGTATTGATAATATTCCACCATTTATCAGATACTTCATTCTTTGGTAAGTTGCTTAGTTTTAAAACTCCATTCCATCTATTTAATAAATTACTAGTCATACCAATAATTGACATTTTTATTATTATTTGTAAATTTAATATATGAATGAATAAAAAAAAATTTAAAAAAAAAATTAAAAAAAAAATAAAATTTTTTTTATATTGTTTAAATTTACCACCTAAACATTTCACCATAAATACAATAAATTAATAAATAAAAATTTTAAATTTTGGTCATTAAAAAAAAACTAAATGATTTTTATTTGAACTAATTTTTTATAAAATATTTATAAAAAAAACTGTTATATTATAATAGCTTGTTATATAATGATTAGTATTACTACAAGTAATTATTGTTGTTATCATTGTTATTATTATTATTGTATGGAATTTAAATATTTAAAGAAAATGATTGATCATAACTAATTGTACTGCTTAAAGTAGTTTCAGTATTTGAATTTGAATTATTTAAAAGTGATTGTTTTTCTCTTCTCTTTTTATTTGCTTTTTCAGTTTCAGTTTTATTATTCTCTTCATTGGCTGGATTCTTTGAACCTGACATAAAGAATATTAATGCTGCAGTTACTGCAATTGCTTCTGGTAAATAATTTAATGCATAAAGATCCCAAATACTTGACTTGAATGGTGATTTAATATTTATTATATAATGTGCTATTTAACATCTAAACAAACTATAAATACAAAGATATGCGCAACTATAAGCATAATAAAAATGTTAATTAGTACATTGGGTATGATATATTTGGGGTGTGTATCTATATGATACCTACTTTTCCTAAAAAATGATTTCTATTTGTGCCGAAATTCTTTGGTATCGATGTTACCATACGATGTAGTTTTATCCAATAAATTAAAAAAGCAATAGATAAACCAAACGAAAATGTAGAGATTGAAATTAAACCATAACCAAAAACATATTCCGCTGTATCAGGATCTTTGGAAACAAAGAAACTACTGATTATAAATATTGATAAAATGAATGCTGCTGTGAACAAGCAAAATACCGTTCTCCAAATTCTTACTTTACGTTCACCATATCCCAAATGTTGAACTCTAAATATAACTTCGACCCATGAAAATAATACAATATCGTACATGCAATAATATGTTATAATTGAAACTAACTCTGTTATATCGAATGTTATAACTATAAAATTTGAAGGTTTTTCTAAACATATAATAAATAATAAATTTGAAAATGTTTTTGCTAAAAATGATTAAAAGTCAGTTAGTTTTATTGAATCTATATAAATATTTAAACAAACAAACAAACAAACAAACAAACAAATAAACAATTTATTTAACTTGTGCATACCTAATGAATGTATAAAAATTATTATAAACACTATTCTACCCAACTTTGTGTACTTTGCTTTATCTCTTAATAAAAACAAACTTGTAATAAATAATATCAAGTGCCATAATGCCAATATTGATTGAAATGATAATTGTATATTTTTTGATAAACCACTCCCATTACCAAAATAAATTAATGAAATAACTTCGAATGCCATTCTACTACTAGAGTAATAATAATATTGCTATTACTATTACTACTATATATTTATTAACCTTTAAATATTTATTATAAACACTATATATTATTTATTATTGCTATTTTACCCTTTTTATTAAATTATTATTATAAAGTTATTTTATTTTATTTTATTTTATTTTGGTACTAATGTTATTTTTCTTTTTATTTTACAAATTATATTATACTATTGATTTTTATTACAACAACAATTTTACTATTTTCTATTTTAAACGAACACTGTTAAAATTCAGGTTGGGAAAAATAAAAAAAAATTAAAATAAATAAAAATCAAAAAAAAAAAATCAAAAAAAAAAAAAAAATAAAATAAATAAAATAAAAATTAAAAAATTAATATTTCGAAATAAGTTATTTTAGTTATAATTTTAAAAATATAAATAAATAATAATAAAGATAAAGAAAAAATATTGTGCAATTCTTGTAAAATAAAAAAAACTTAAACAAAAAAAATAAAAAATAAAAAAAAATAAAAATTATATATTTTATTTTTTAAGTTTTTTATCTTTTTTTTTGTGTGGTTTCTAAAATAAAAATTTAAATTTAAAATTAAATTTAAAGAACAGATAAATGAAAAGTTTAAAGAGGTTTATTTTTAGCTAATTATATTGGAATAACTAAAAAAAAAACTTGAAAAGAATGACAGAATCAAAAAAAAATCTTTTTTTTTTTAAAATATCTAAAAATATGATTCTGCATCATTCGATTTCTGGGTCATTTCCTGTTTGCTTTAAATAAAATACAAAGACAAAAAATTTTAATTAAAAAAAAAAATATATAAATATTTATTATCCAAAAATAATTGGATAATATGATATGATTTTTATTAAAAATATAAAGATATAAATACAAATATTATTGATATTTATGAGTTTATATTATTTAATTTATACTATTATTATTATTAGGTTGTTATTTGTTATTATTTTTGCTTGTTTGGTTCTAAAATTTCCATATATATGAGTATTCATTTGTTCGTTCGTTCGTTTGTTTTATTTATTATATTATATTATATTATTATATTTGTTTGATTATATTTATTATTATTATTAATGCCCATTTACACCAATATAATTTCCATTATTTAAACTTTTAGCATTGTTACCATTTACATGAGTTGTACCATTACTATTTAATTGTTGTTGGATAATTTTTCCTTTTCTTGTACGAATAAATAATTTTAAACATTCTTGAAACTCTTTAACTTGGGCAGTTGGTAATAATAACTTTAAAAATTGATCGGTAAATTCAGAAGTAACATTTAATTTTGGTAAAATTGAATTCTTTAAAAAGTTTAAGAAATTGTCGCCGTATTTTGAAGAGATTGATTTTAATGATTTACCAATTTCCAAAATAATTTGATTTGAAGCAAAATCATTAATGTTAAATTGTGGTGATAATGGAACCTCAAAGCATAGTGGTACCATTTGGCCAAAAAGGAATTGTTCAAAGCCATTAATGTGATGAGCACCACCTGGAGCATAGTCATCAATCATCTTTTTTAAGATTACAAAACAAGCTTTTTGGATAGCTTCGTTTGATGATTGACAACCACTGGTTAAAGTTGGGAGAATAATTTTCTCAAATACATCGAGATTGGCTTGTGAGGTAAAGGTATTGGCTAAATTATTTGAAAGAATACCTTGAATAAATTGATAGTAAGAACGTTTAAGTTCATTGATTGATCTTTCTTCATCGCTATGTTCTGGTGGTTGAATGGATGGATTTAATAGTTTGAATACATGATTAATAGTTGGTTTTAGAGTGTGATTAATTACTTGGAATAGTTCTTCTTTATATTTGCCAACCAATTGATTAATAAATACTAAAAATTCCAATAGAGTTGGTATAGTGACAGTGTGACTTAATAATAGTGGGAGTATGTCTTCTAATAATGGTTTTAAATCTTTACCTAAACATTCGACCATACGATGCATATAAAAGAATGTTTTGAATTTAACTTCCTCGTTTTCTGGTAAAAGATTTGGTAATTGAACTATTAAAGTAAGGGCACTCTTGAAATAAACTTTATAGTGGCAAAGAGAATCTGGTTTTGGTGCACCATTTGATGCATTAAATGAACTAAAACCTTTACTAAAATTACCGATTACTGAAATTAATTGACAAATTTGGACAGAGTAGAATTGATTCTCTTTTGTATCGGTTTTATAAAGTTGCTTATCAATAATCTCTTTAAGTTGATTAATTGGATTACCTAAAATCTTTTGAATATATCCACTTTCGGTATCTTTATCTAAAATAGCTGCTCCAATTAAAAAACCTAATAATTCATAAAAACTTGATTGCTCATCAAATGGCACAACTTTTTGAATTTCGTATGAAATTATTAAATGATTCTAAAATTTTATTGGTAAAAAAAATTAGTATTTGATTTATCTTTATATGTGTATCTATTTTTAAAAATATAACTTACTTGTAAAGCAATAATAATATCGTTAATATATTTTAAAATTGGTACTTTTAATTGCTTAACCAATTTATTAAACAAGTGACCAGCCTTGCTTCTAACAACTGGATCGCTATTATAGATACCTCTGGCATCTAAAAATGATTTAATGACGGCATCAAGACGTGAGTCCAATGGAATATATTTGGCGTATCTAACTAAAGTTTCGAAATACATTAACGATACTACTTGATGTGAAGTTTGAGAGATATTTGAAATTGCTAAATTTGAAATCATTTCTGAAAAGAACTTTTCGAATTGTTTCATAGACTCTTCTGAATTGGCTGAAATACCTTCGCCCATTTGGAATAATAAATAAATTGAAACCTCAATATCGGAATAATTAATACCTGGATTTGTTAATATATTTGAAATATTTGCTGTTACAAACTCACTAACTAAATCTGGACGAATTCTAAAAATATTTCTAAATAAATTTGATAAATCTTTTCTAAAATCTAAAATTTTAATTTCGCTGTCGTCTTCATCATCATATTTATCTGTTTTAAATCTCATTTTATTTCTTACAATTTGAACTAAAGCTCTAATATGTTCAAATTGTTGACCACTAATATTTTTAATACCCTTTAACTAAATAAAATAAATATTAGTATTTTTTTTTCCAATCAAAATTATAATTTATGAAACTATAATTACCTTTTGAACATAAAGTGATGCAAAACCATAAACTGAATAAGAAACATCATTTGATTCATTATTGAAGAATTGTACTAAAATTTGTAACATATCATTTAATAAAATTTCACCATTTGAAAAACTTCTACCTGGATCTTGTTGTAACTAATATAAATAATTATTGTTATTAATATAAAATAAATTATTTAACGAATTAATTGTTTTTTTTTGATTGACTGTGATCAATTGATTACTTACAGACTCCATTCCTCTTAAAATCTCCATACCAGTTAAATTAACCAAATTACCAACTTTAACAACAAATTCGGATGAATCTAATGAAGTGAGACCAATAATATCTTTGATTCTTAATTGTTGAATAAGTGTAAGCTTTGCCATTGGATCCATACCTTTATTTATAATTTCTTTGAAACAATCCACAACCTCTTCTCTAACTGATTTTTCCCTTAAAAAGTTACAAAATACTTGAATGAATGGATCATTTACAATTAAATTAATATCAATCCAACCAACATAAGTTTTAATATTTTGAAGTGTCATATTGATTAATGATGAATTCTTTTGCTTTGTTAAAATTTCGTACCATGATGACACAATATTAACAATTGCCTTTTCTCTCATTTTATCTTTCTATAAATTTTAAAATAAGAAATAAAAAGTTAATAAATAATTTAAAATATATTTATATTTTTATATATAAATTCCCTACAATCATTGTATTTTGTGCTAATTCTGCTGGTGATCTGTGAACATCGAATGATACAACTTCTTCATCAATTGATTTACAAATTCTTAAAAATATATCGACTGAAAAATTTTGTAAATTTAACAATGAAAGAATCTCTTCAAAAAATGCTGGCCATCCATCTGGGTACTCTTGTTTGAATAATAAAACTATAATTTGTGCAAACTTATTTTTGATTGCTGAAAATAATAATAAAAATTAGCATTAGTTATTTTGTTCATATAAAAAATTTTATCTAAAAAATTTTAAAATTTTTTTTTTTCGGTCTCTCGTTGGAAAAAAACTCATAAAAAAAAAATTAAAAAATAATGAGGTAAAAAAAAAAGATACCCTACGTGTTTCTTCTTGATTGACAATTAAATGAGATTGGAACCATTTTAATAAACCCACTCTGAGGTTTAATTTATCTTCTGTTGTTAATAATTCATATCTAAAAATAATAAAAAAAATGAGAGAGTGGTTAGTATATACCGAGCGATATTTACAATAAAATAAAAACAATGCTAAATATTTTGAGAAAATAAAACTTGACATACTTGTGTAAAATGATATCTTGAAAAACTTGAATACAAAAGAATTTAATATAAGTATTATTGGTAGTTCTTAATTTCTCTAAACAAAATTCCCACGCTTTTGGATTCTCTTTGATTCTGTTTGTGTATTCTAAAGCTTGTTGTTTAATGTCTTCTCTAGTTGAAGGATCGAAACTACAGATAACTGCTTGATCAAAATTATCCATTTTATCTGTAGTAATTTAAATTTATTTATTTTATGTAAATTATTAAATATGTGAATTTAATATTGTTCTTCTAAAAATAAAAAATAATAAAAAAAAAAAGATTTTATTTAACTATTTATTTTATTTGATTTATTGTTTAAATTGAAATAAGTTTATTGTGTTTTATTATATATTATTTCTTGTTGTTATTATTATTTCGCTTTGTGTTATTTTTCGTTTTCTTAACTTTTTATTAATTTATTATTATTTTACTATTATTATTATTATTTTCTTTTCTTTTCTTTTTTTTTTTTCTTTTATTAAAACAACAATAAATAAATAATGTGGCAACAATAATAATATAAATTATCGATATTATCTATAGGAAAAAAAATATTATAATAACTAACTATTATGTTGGATCATAAAAAAAGAAAATTTTTAAAAAAAAAAATAAAAAAAAAAGGAAAAAAAAAATATTTTTAAAAATAATAAAAAAATTTTAAAAAAAAAATTTTGGAAAAAAAAAAAAAAAAAAAAAAAAAAAAGAAAAAAAAAAAACCCCCCAACACACACCAAAACAATAACCTTTTTAGTAAATGTAAATAGATAAGAATAAAATTTAAAATAAATATTAATATATATAAAAAATAAATAAATTAATGAATTAATATATAAATAAATATAAAAAAATAAAAAAAAACCGAAAATGAAATTTTTTTTTTTTGATTTTTAATTTTTTTATTTTTTTTTGAAACTGTGTGGGAAAAAAGAAATCAAAAAATATAAATAAATAATTAGAATAAACAGATAAAAAAATATTTCTAAAATATTTGTTTTTTTCTTCAATAATATTCGAATTTCTGGATTCCAAAAAAAAAAAAAAAATAGTTATATTTTTTAAAAATTTAATTATTTCAATTTTTGTTCTAATAATATAATAAAGGTGTGTGCCTCAGGAAAATAATGTGAGATAAAGTGCTACTTTGATAGTGTCCATTCAGTATATAGTAATAGTTTAATAGGTAATAAAACAATGTAATGATAAAATAGTTAATTCGGCCAAAACGAGTGGCAACATTATTCGAACAAATATGGTACAGAAGAAACAAATAAAATCATGAAAACTTCACCTACGAACTATTATATGAAAGATTAGCCATGATTCAATTTGAGTCATGCCTTCTTCTCAAAGAATGGAATTGTCAAATTATCGTTATCTTCAGTTTTTTATTGTATTTAAATTTATAGATTTTTAAAAACTTGACTTCTATCACACTATAATTTCAATTAATTGGAAGAATTTTAAAAAAAATAATAATAATTTTTTTTTGAATATCTTACCTCTTTTTTCTTTCAACATTCACATCTTTCTTTTAAATTTCAATACTTATATTTTAAAATTAATATTCAAAAATGAAATAAAAAAAATAAGTTTTTTTAAAAATGAAGATATTTAAATCATATGATATATTATATTTTTGATGTTTTTAAAACTTTTTTACGTTTAAATGTAAACATCGCAAAATCAGACTTTTTTTATTATCAAATATTATTTTAAAAAATAGATAAAAATCAAGATTTTTGTTACCTAAAAATTCAAAAAATTAGATTTTATTATAAAATTTATTGTTTTTTTTTTAAAATTTTAATTTTTTGTTTATGTAAACAAAAAATTTTTTTATTTTTTTTATTTATTTTATTTTTAAATAAAAATGAAATTATTACTTGTATTACTTTTTATTTCTTTCTACTATTCATTTGGTCAACAACAATTTGTAAATTTCCATCCATATGCAGCTTCACACTGCGCTGATATTCCATATGGCGTTGGTTTTTCAGTTGCCACAAGTAAGTATTAACAAAATATAAATATTGATATCGATGTATTTTTATTAAATATTAAATTTATTAGATAAATGTTTAAATGATCTTGATTATTTCTACACTGGCTACCAATATTACTCTTATTTTACACGTACCCTAGTCAATTCAAGTAATCAAACATTGGTTTTTGTAACACAGTATGGACAAAGAAATTGTTCAGGTCCAGAGGTAAAAACATCGTATTATATAAATAACACATGTGATATCTCGCCACTATTGGATCAAAAAAAATTCTCACCATATTCATATGTTACAGTCACAAACAAACCATCATTCACAGATAACAGTATTGTTAATGCAGTTTATTCAAATGACCAGGGTTCATCCTCAGCTGATTCTCCAGCAGTATGCAGTAGTGGCAATCTCTTATTTGCTTCAATTATGACTGACGGTTTTAAGGCCACTTTTCCAAGTGGTGCTTACGAATTCTTCAATTGTGTTAAAAAACAACCATTTTTGTATTCCTGCCTTAATAATAATTGCAAAAACATCCCTTTGACACTTGCATGTTCATCAAACCAAAACGGACTCACCAATGAGTCTTGTTTCTGTTCAGTATAATAGTTATAATAAAACTTTGAAAAATAATTATTAATTAAATTTTTATGTTTTTTTTTTTTTTTTTTTTTTTTTGTATTTATTTATATATATTTTTATTAATTTATTTAAAAAGAAAACGTCTACAACATGCCGAATTGAACAACAGCTTCAATTTCTACTGGACCAAAAACAACTTTAATATTGTGATCACCAAAAGTATTTATTTGATCTGGGAAAATAATGTTGGCAGAATCGATAATAACACCTCTTCTTCTCTTTAAACTATATGAAATATTTTCTGGTGTAATGGTTTCTACTGGAACACCTGATGCAGTTGAACGTCTCATAACAGTAATTTTTGGATCTTTTTTTAAACTTTTAATTGCTTTTGCATTATTTTTTTCTGCGATACGTGATGAATAATCGATTTTCTATAATATAATAATATAATAGTAATTAAATTAATATATTTCCAAATATTTATAATTAGTGTATCTGTGAGTATTGGGTTGTTTTATTTTCCACTTGTCTATAATATCCACATAGTAGTTATTTGTAGTTTTATATCCTATTAAATATATGTATATTCGATTTAAATAATTTGATGCTAAAAAGTGTAATGATTGGATCTAAACTATAACAATTATTATCTATTAATCTATCTATTATTTTATGTTATTAATATTTGATATTACTTTTGAAAACTCTTCATATAACTTTCTATTTTCGTGAGTAGCATGAACAGCTAAACCTTTCATAAAAAAGAAATTTCTTGCAAAACCTTTTGATACTTCCAATTCTTCACCTTTTTGACCAACTTTTGGGATATCTTCAGATAAAATTACTGAAACTTTCTTTTTTTCTGTAGCGTAGTATGATTTTGATTCTGTTTGTCTTAAAGTTGATGTAACTAATGATAAGCTACTTTTATTATTTTTTAAACTATTTTTACTAAAAACAACCACACAATAAAAAATTTTTTAAAAAAAAAATAAAATTAGAAACGTGAACTTTATCCTCTTTTTATAATGATTGGGTTATCCATTGAAGCTAATTCCTACCAAAATGATGAGATCATTTTATTATATATATATGCATAAACGAATTTATCTAAAAAAAAAAAAAAAAATAAAAAAAAAAAAAAAAATGAAAATTTTTAAAAAAAAAAATTTAAAAAAAAAAAATAAAAATTAAATACGAAAGTTTTTTTTTTTGAAAAATTTATTCAATGTTTAAAATGAAATTAACACTCAGACGATTAGAATGAAGTTTAAATATATTTACAAATTTTTTCTTTTTTTTTTTTTTAAATTAATAAAAAAAAAAAAAAAAAAAAACTAAATTTATTGAATGTTTTTTTTTATTCTTGGTCTTCTTCGTCTTCATCTTCTTGGTCTTCACCCTCTACATTTCCTTCTTCTTCTGCTAGAGCTTGAAGGAATTGTTCTTTTTGAATGATCATTCTTTTTGAGTTCAATTTTTCTGCATATTGTTTTTCATATTTGCCAACCTGTGTTTTGAGAATAGTTTTAGTCTTGATATTTTTGGTTCTATTGGTAATTTTGTGTAAATCTTTCCAAATATTACCGGGGCCCCATAAATATTGATCTCTATAAATACGATAGTCAATATGTTCTAAATAGCAAATTGCTTCTTTACCTCTAGTATCTCTATCATGCTTTTCCATAGATGTTCCTTCACAAGCTTTCGATAATTTATTTACAATATCAAGCATTTGCTTTTGTACGTCACTTGTTACATATCTATTGTGGTCCCACTTCATGTCGTGTAATGATGCTTTGGGGTCTTTGGTTTGTCTAATTTTGTTTTTAACTATTTTCATAACTCTATCTCTTTTTGCTTGGGACATTTCACCGTCATATATATAATTTTCCTCTTTGAAACTATTTTCTTCTTCAGTTTCCTTGTCTTTTCCTTCCTCTTCATCCTCACTATCGATTTCTATTTGTACCCTTTTCTTTCTTGATGGTGAGTTATTATATGGTTCAGGTACTCTTAAAGCTCTACCTTTTGATGGTTCATCATTATATGGGTTTCTTTTTGATTTGCTTGGTGTTAATGATTTATTTATATTGTTACTGTTATTACTATTTTGTTTGGTTGGTGTTAATGATTTGTTTTTATTATTACTATTGGTGTTATTATTGTTTTTATTTTTGGTGTTACTATTATCATTATCACTATTTTCTTTATCACTGTTATTGTTACTATCTGTTTTTAAATTTGGTTGAAAAAGAGCCCTTTTCAATGACTCTTGGAACGAGTTATCTCTTTGTCTAACTTTAATAGGTGTTATTTCTGTTTTGATTTTCTTTATTTGGTCTCTATCACTGCCACTATCAGTATCTTCTTCAATATTAGTATCATTACCATCAGGTTCTTTTCTTTTCTTATTTGGAAGATCTTGTTTGGGAGTTGAATCGGTTTTAATTTTCTTTTTTTGATGTGTTGTATTATCACTATCTTTATCACTATCTTTATCGTTATTAGTATAGTTGTTATCACTATTATTATCTTCTTCAATTTGATTATCACCGCTACGTTCTCTTCTTTTCTTAGTTTGACTTTGTTTTGGAGCAGCCAATCCAGTATATAGACCAGTTTCAAAAATAATATTGGTTTGTTTTGATCTTGTCGTAATAGATGGACCATTGGTTTGATGATTTATTGACTTTTCTGTTTTTGTTGGTGTTGGTGATGTTGTTGTTGTCGTCGTTGTTGTTGTTGTTGTTGTTGTTTTTGTAGCTGTGTTATTTGTGGTTGTATTAGTTGTGGTTGTATCGGCTGTGGCGGTATTAGTTGTATTGGTCACATTTTTATTTAAATTAATGTTGGATTTAATGAAGTTATGTAATTCAACTACTTTTATTGTATCGGGTAGTTCATGTTCTAATTTATAAGTTATATTTTGTAAAATTTTTGAGGCTTTATAAATTGATGTTTTTGAATTATTAAATAGTTGGGCATTTGTATAAATTAATATTAAATCTTTAAAAAATTCGTCATTGCTTTCATATTCGTATTTGTTTAATCTAAGTTTCATTTGCTGAAATGACATTGGTTGTTTGATAATACTATGATAGGTTGGGGCCTCTTGCTCGGTGACTGGTTGGTTAAATGGGCTTAAAACTTCGATGGACTCTAAAGTCTTTAAAATTGTACGAATAAAAAAGTAGCTATTAAGTAGTGTTGCTTCGATAATATCACGGGAGACTAACACAGACTCTCTCTTTTGGCGCTCTCTCTTTCTAGCTAACTCTAAAATAGTTCTAGATCTTTCTAAATCTTGACGAATATTTAATAAATGATTGTATTGTTGTACTGTATTAATACCGGGTTCGTGTCTTGGTGATCTACAAATGTTTGATGGTTGAAGTCTTTTAATTAAGGCCAATCCACTTCTTGATATTCTCTTCTTTACCCAGTAGGAATAAACACCCTGTATAAATGCACTTGGGTATATACCAATCTTTTTGATAGCCCTTGAAACTGGAATTAAACCTGCATTCTTTGCTGTAATACCTGTATTTCTAGACTTTTTCCTTTGGGTGTGTACAGTTTCTTTACGACTACTATTATTGTAATCATTTTCGTCATCACTGTCGTCATCTATGACTTGTCTATTTGATTTCTTTCTGCTATTTGATTTGGATGGGGTTTTCTTTGGTGTGAGAACTTTGCCATTTGATTTGGATGGAGTTTTTTTTGGAGTTGATTTTTGTTTATTTCTATTTACATCACTACCATCTTCATAGCAATCATCGCTATCACTATCGCTTGAGTGTAATACACATTCCTCATCAGTTGAGATATCCATGCCAATTTTTTCCTTTACAGTTTGACCATTTAATATTTTTTTTTCAAAATGTTTTGTACAAAAAATTACATTTGGATTTGAGTACTCTTCATCGTCACCATTATGATCACGAAATGCCTTTTGTTTAGTTTTGATACAAAATGGATGAAATGCAATTGAACAATTTCTTTCTCTACATTGAATTGATGCACCAACCTTCTTTTTACATACTGAGCAAGTTAATTTATATCTTTGTTTTAGTATTTTTTTGAGTAATCCGCTTGGACCTAATTTATCTCTACCACTACCTTTTTCTTTAAAATAAAAAATAAATATTAGAATGCTATATAAGCATTAATAAAGAGTGTATGTTTAAAACTTACTAACTATTGCTATTAATTCGGGTATTTTATAAACACAAACTAAATGAACCCATTCACCATCTATAGTTTGTTTAAAAGCTCCACTTTTCTTATCGCATATTTCACACGAGATTTGACTTTTTTCGGGTGATTCACACTTTTGACAAAACCATTGGCCCTCTGGAATTAATAAAATACCATAGCAATCTTGATGAACTGCTATATCACAACCATCGCAATAAACAATTTGATTAGTGTCGTCTGATGTACCATCAAAACAAACTGCACAAACATCATCAGACTCGACTGAACTAAAATGTAAAAACTTGTCATCTCCCATTTCTTGTTTCTACATAAAAATAAGAATTATTGGTTGTCATTAGTATTAAAAACAATAATAATAGTAATAATAAATCTATAAAATAACCTACATATACAAATGTTTCTTTTTCTAATCTGTCTATAACAAATTCAAAATCGTCTTCATCATATTGAACTGATGAGTTTTTATTGAAATTTTGTAACCATTGTTCGTCCTCGCTCTCCATATCATACTCGACTTCTTCGTTTAATTGTTCACTTGATTTCTCTTTATAAACAATATATCCTAATGATTTATGAAATGGCTCTGAGGGATTATCATCTTGAACTTCTTTATAAACTGGTTTATTTAATTCCTCTTCATTTCTTTTTAAATATTTATATCTTTGAGTATAGTTTTTTTCATCTTCTAGGGAATTGATTATATCTAAATTTAAATGGTGGTGGTGGTGATGTTTATTGTTTTTATTGTTACTATTATGACTATGTTTATTTTTAAAAATCTCTTCATGTTGGTCATTCTTTTCTTCGCTATAAATTTCTGAGGCTACGGAGTTTGAATTAATATCTAAAATTTCATCCTCGGTAAATAGCTCTGGATTGATTATTGGTAACTCTACTTTAAACAACTCTTTATCAAAAAATGGTGTACTTGTTGACGCACTTGGTTTTTTATTTAAAATTTTTAATATTTTGCTGCTACTGTTTTTATTATTATTTTCATTAAAACTGATGTTCTCGTTACTATTAATACTATTATTATCATTATTGATTGCTTGGGTAGTAGTTGTTGAGTCAATCACTATTTTATCACCAAAGCTCAAGCTATTTTTTATTTCTTTTATGCTATTTTGATCATTTTCGATTGCTAAATCTTTAAAATCCATTTGATTGTTTTTATCTATTTGTTGGCTATTATTATTATTATTATTTGTTACAATTGAATCTAATTTAGATACTATACTATTTTCATTACTATTTTGTTGAGATTTATTTAATGTTGGATCTAGGGAAATATTATTAATAAATGGTGAATCTATATTTTGTTCTGGGGTGGATGATGATGAATTTATTGATAAGCTAATTGTTGGTGAAATATTTGAAACCAAATTTTCCAATGATTTTTCAGTCTCTAATACTGAAATATTTATATTATTACCATTACTATTTATACTATTTATACTATTTATACTATTTATATTATTAACTATGGTGTCATTTATACTATTATTATTTATACTATTATTGTTATCTATACTACTATTATCTATATTGTTATTTTCTATATTATTATTATTAATAGTATTTATATTATTAATTTCAGCTGGTTGGTGCTGCTGTTGTGTTGGTACTTTTTTTCTTTTTAAAAATGGAATAAAAGCTTTGATACCAATAGCCATCTATATTTTTAATTATTTAATATTTGATTTTTTTGATTTTATTAATTTTATTTGTTTATTTTAAAAAATTTAATTTTAGGTTGAAAAAAAAAATAAAAAGATTAAATGAATTTTTTAAAAATAAAAGATTTAAATTTTATGTACAAAAAAAAATGATAGTATGATGAAAAAAAAATGAAAAAAAAAACATTAAATATATAAATTTATAATTTTAATTTATAAAAATATATATTTATAAAAATATTTAATTTATATTCTTGTATTATTTTATTTATTAAACAAAATGAAAAGAAAAAAATTAATTTTAATATTAAAAAAAAAGCAAAAAAAAAAATTTTTAAAAAATTTAAAAAAAAAAAAAAAATAAAAAAAATATATTTAAAAAATTAAAAAAAAAAATAAAATTAAAAAAAAAAAAAAAAAATAAAACTTAAAAAAAAAGTGTATAAATAAATGTATAAATAATATTATTTATTGTTTATTTAAATAAAATTTTTTTTTTAATAACTAACCATTTTTGTGATGGTTAAAATTATTGATTTTTTTATTTTTATATTTATATTTTTTGTTTTTGTTTTTGTTTTTGATTAAAATAATTTATAAGATTTGATATCTAAAACTTCACCCATATTAATTGAATCCCACAGCCAAAGTGAATTTCCAATTTTTTTATTGTGGGTTTTGTTTTGTTGTAAAAATTGTTTAAATAAATCTTTTGGTTTAACGGTCGAAAAATTTGGGGGTAAAGATGCTATTAAGTGGGTTGTTTTTTCATTAATTTGATCTACAACATCACCTCCGAATGCCACTATATATCTTTTTAATGTGTCCCTGTCATTTACATTTTCGTGTAAATAAATACTACAGTCGCTGAAAATATTTAAAAGGTGTTGTTTTTTTGTTGGCGATGGTGATGATTTACATTGTTTTTCTTCCTTTTTTGATGTTGATGTTGACTCGCCCAATTTATCAATTTGCATTGCATTACTGTTTTTGGTTGTATTTGTATCGAGTGACTTTGAAGAATGGTTTTGAGATGTTGAAGAACCATTTTTGGAAACATAACAGTAAATTTCGTCGATTGGTAGTAACAAATCGTTGTTGAAGCAATCTTCGACCCATTGTGTTTTGGCTATGGCCCCACCTAATCTAGATACATGATGATAAAGATCACTTTCTCCATCATCACAAATAAGGTGTGTGGTTTTATCTAATCCTTTAATGGCACACCATTTTTCTGAAACACGACCACCTAAAATCTTTATCAGTCTTTCACATTTCTTTGCTAATTTTTGATTATCCAAAACTGATTGGTCGAATACTACATTTACATTGCCAAACACTGGTGCTTCCAATTCCTTTTCCTCCAATTCCTTTAATATTTCATGCTCTAACATTTGATCACGATCTCTTTTTAAACTAGTTTTTTCATTTTCATTTTCATTTTTATTATTATTATTATTATTATTTACAGAAACATCTATTGTAGTTGTTTTAGATGAAAGAGTCGAAGTTTTTGAAACTGATGGTGGTGATTTAATTGAGTGAACAAAAACTTTAATACCAGAGTCATAAAGTTCATCTATTAAAACCTCTTCAATTTCGGACCACGATGGTTTAGAGAATGATGGTTTAGCTATATGCACTGAACCATTCTTATTTTTAATAACACCTTTGGATTCTTTAATTGCAGATTTGAAATGCTTTAAAGAGAAACTATATGATTCATCTTTTGATTTTGGTGGGACTATACAAGATAAGTTACATACAAATATTTTTTTCTTTTCTTTATCTATATTTTCTTCTAAAACCTTTTCAGACTTTGATTCGCCACTTTTAATTTTTTCAAATGATTCTACAACTTTTGGAAATCTTTTACTAATGGCACCAGATATACCTTTATTATTCCATTTATCGGTATTATCCACATAATTTAAAACAAATATATTTGGGCTGGTATCACCCGATCCACTAAAAGGTTGTGTTAAATCTCCACCTACATAAAATAATTTATCCTTTGTCTTACTGTCCTCTTCTTCATTATCACTCTGTTGTTGGTCTTTATCTTTTGATTTGCTACTTGTGGTGGTTGTGGTAGTGGTAGATGTTGTGGCGGTAATTGATAATGATTTTTTTTTATTTCTTTTAGCAATTAAATTTTCATCGTCAAATTCACCCTCTATATCATCTGTTGGAATAATTTTAGCATCTTTACCAAGCTCCATTAATTCTTGAAGGTTTGTAGCAGTTTTATAATCTTTATCTTCTCTGAATCTAACAATTCTAGGGAAACGCATAGAATAACCAGAGGTATGGTAATTTGTTTTGGTGAGCTCTGCAGACTCAATTTCTAAAATCATTGCATCTCTTGGGTGTTCAACAATAAAATCTGGTGTATAAGGTTTGTTGATATCGATCCAATCTGGTACTTTGGTGTGATCTTTTGAAATCTTTTTCATGGTCTCTTTAATTTTTGGTTGAAGCTTGTCAATGGTTTTATCATCTAGACCACCTGATGCTTTGACTACGGTTTTATATCTCTTTGAAACTTTATCGTAACAGGCCATAAGGAAAACAGTTACCAAACCACCAAAACTACCAGAGCCATAATAACCGCCAATTGCAATAAGATCGGCACTATCGGCCATACCTTTGATATAATCTTTTTTTACCTTGATCCAATGTCTAGCACCTGGTTCATAAATACTGTCAGCATTTTTGATTACTAAACCCTCTAACTTCTCTTTGAATGCTCTATTTAAGAGATTAGTGAGCTTGTATTTTTCTTGAATACCTTTGACGATGGTGACCTCTGAGAATTCAACACGATGTTTAACCACTGTAACATTCTTTTCTAAAATCTCTCTTCTTTCTTCTAAAGGTAAATGGATAAGTGATTTACCATCCAAATAAAGAATATCAAATAAGAAGACACAAACGGTGGCATCAATGAAACCTTTCTTTTTGTGGGCACCTAATGTACCAAATGGTAAAGGAATACCAGTTTTAGTATCCATTAAAAGAACCTCACCATCTAGAATCATTTGATTGGCCTTGGTTGCTTTTGGAATATATTGCTTTACCTCATCTACTTTCCATGGCATTAATGGCTTTAGATTACGCGAGAAACAACTGAATTTATTTCCATCTTTGTGAATTTGAATACGCTCGCCATCATATTTGATTTCAGAATAAAAACAACTACTACTTTTTGCAACATCATCAACATCCTTTACAGCCTTTGGTAACATTGGTTTAATTGGTGTCATTAATTTAATTGCAACATCAAATGATTTTGATTTTGATTTTGATTTCTTTTTACTACTTGACTTTTCATTATCAGAATCGTCTGAATCGATTGATTTTTTGGATTTCTTTTTATTACTTGAAGAGGAGGATGAACGTTCATCATCAGACTCCTCATCAGACTCGAATGAGTGCTTTTGAATCTTTTCTATTACGCCATGTAAATTATTTGCCTTTTTATAGGCATCATATGCATTTGGATGCAATGCATCCAAAAAGAATTTTGCGCCTGTGTTAATTTTTAAATCGCTATCAATAATTCTGCAAATTAATCTGAAATCCTGTGGTGTACATTTCTTTAATAAACTTGAAATAATTTTTACCTGTTCATCAAATTTGCCAGATAATGTCAATGAATCTAAAAAATCATCAACTTGTTTTAATGTTAAAGTACTTTTTTCTGGATATTTTCCATATTCTATATAAAACTAAAATATTAAATAATTAGTTTTTTATAATTTATATTACTACCATGATTAAATCTATTTACTTTTTTACAAGTTTCAGTGAAATCACCATTATCCAGATCTGCAATCATGTCATCTAAATCTGCATCCCATATATGAGCACAAATTTTTAGCATTACTTTATCCCTCATTCTAAAAACTCTTTTATCCTCTTTACATAATAATAACTTTGCCAATAAATATAAGTCACCACTATTTAAATATAAATTAGTTTAATAAATCTTTAATAATTTTTTAATTAATTTATTTCTTTGAAAACTTACTTGAAAACTTTACAAAATGATGAAATAATTTGAGTTTTACCAGAATGTGTTGATTCTTCTTTTAACTTTTCGCAAAGCTTTGATAAAGAATAAAGTGAACCTGATTTATCTTCTGACATTATTTATTATATTATTATGTCGTATTAAACTAAATACAAGATATTTTAAAAAAACTATTTTACAAAATATTATAAATATTATATATATTATGTTACTATTTTAATTTTAATAGATTACAAAAAAATATAAAGAGAAGTAGAGAAAGAAAAAAAAAAAAAAAAAAAAAAAAAAAAAGATAATTAGATAATTATATATTTTTAAATAAATTATAAAAAAAAAAAAAAATATTTTTAAAAATATTTTTTTTTTTTTAATTTTTTAAAAAAAAAAAATAAAAATTTTCTGTATATACCCAGAATTCAAAGAAAATTAAATTTTAGGTAAATTCAATAACAATTTAAAGTTTAATTTTAGTTTATTTTTTAAAAACTTATTGGAAATGATCTACTCTTCTGATAAGTGGAATTGGATCGATTTTGATTTTGATTGAAACAACAATAAAAACATTGTGAAAATCGAACTTGGAATAAATATAAAATCGAACCAACGATGATAAAAACTGAACTCTATATCACCCAATATTTTAGTGACAATAAACCTTGTGTAAATTTCAGGCATAGATGTTCTCATCATGAGTACTGATGATATAAAATACATTCCCATTACTTGAGCCAAAATTAAAACAATATTATTTGATGATAAACTACTTGAATATTCGTGAAAAACTTTTAAAATTTGATTAAGGAAACCACGAATTGATGAAGCTGTCATTAACCCAACCAAAAGAAAACTAATATGCTGTGACCAAAATGGAACATCGATTTGAATATGGAAATAACGCAAAGCAATATCCAGACCTCTGCTGACTGGATCCAAACCGTGTTTTCTATCGAATACTATATTTAATGTGCTCTAAATAAAATATAAATTTTAAAAATTAATATATTTTTAAAAAATGTAGTGTGTGTATTTAAAATATCTTTTTTAAACTTACCATAAAAATTTTATAAATACAATAAATTGAAAAGAAATAACCCAACCAATTATAAAATTTACCTTGTAGTGTTGTTGAAAATTTAATTCTTAATTTTTCCAATTTTAGCTCGTGTATTTGTAAAAACAGGTCTCTATTTAAATCCTCCAACTCTTTAACCTCTCTTTCTAGATGGTTAATGTCGTCGATTGGGCTTTGTCTATTCCAATAAAAAAACGAAAGGAACCAACGCAGTGAACCAAACTTTGATTGGCCGTTGTCACCTAAACTGTACGATGAAGTTCTTCTAGAAAGCTGTCTTTTTAACATTACAATTCTTTTTCTTTTATTTAATATTTTATCGAGTGAATGGTTGAACTGTCTTTCCAACTTTTGAATTGTGATGTCCTTGACTGGCTTTAAAAAATAACTTATATAACTGTATGGAACGTTCACAGCACCATAACCTGATAACAACGCCATCACGGTGCACCCAACTATACCAATTCTACCAATACCCATCTCTAATGAAACTATACCCCTATACTCTTTTAAAATTGGAAATGGATCCCCAATCTTCCAAAACAAAAATAAATACAGCAATAGTAATACAAAACTTAAAAACAGTGTCTTTCTTTTACTGAATCCATATGCCAAAACCAATAAATAGAATTGATAATACGGTAAAAATAAAATTAAGTTTACTGACATTAAAATCAAATCGATCTCCCAAAACCTATATCTCCATCTATAAAAAAAGAAAATAATAATGTTAAAAACCCAACATTACTGATTATCATCATAACCAAATATACTTACTCTCTATCCATAAAATCAACAATTTCGAAAAATATTAATTCGAACAATGTCAATGATAATGCAAATGTAACAGAGAATGATAATTGAACAAATACTTTTTTTACTTCATAATCTCTGAATAAAATTTTCATAAAATAAAACCACCCAAATAAAAAGAACAATACAAATGACAATACAAACACACCAATAGTCGATGTATTTATAACGATTTCTTTTATACTTGAAATTATGAACTCCCTTGTGTTTATTAGTAAGGTATTTACTAAAAATGTTGATTCCATCGATGACGATGATGATAGTAAAGTTGATGTGGGTAATGACAATGACATTTTAAATACTACATATTATTACTATAGTTTACTATACTATCCAATTACTATATACAACTATTATACAATTAATATTAATTATTATTATTCATTGAAGAAAAAAAATATTAAAAATTTAAAAAAAAAATAAAAAATAAAAAATAATTAAAAAAAAAAAAATTAAAAAAAAAAAGGTTTGGAAAAAAATATATAAAAAAAAAAATAATAAAAAAATATATATAAATAAATATATTTATATTTATATTTATTTATTAATATTTCATAATCTAGATCAATGACTCCCCAATTATTAAAATATTAAATTATAAGAATATTGGATCTGAAATTTGGAGGTTATTTCAAAATCAAATCCATTCTTTTAAAAATTTTAAAAATATTTGAAATTTTTCTTTGCCAACAGAGTTGATTATAATAAACCAAATGTCATTTTATATAAATATATACATAATGGACAACGACAATCAATATTTTTAATTAATTTAAATTAAAATCAATAACCCCATCCCAACCAAAAAAAAAATTAAAAAAAAAAAGAAAAAAATAAAAAAACCGGATATTTTTAAATTTTCGGAAAAAAAAAAAAAAAAAAAAAAAAAAAAAAAAAAAAA